GACTGGAAAGAGACTCGAACGTGGCATGCCGGAGCGATTTCTATTCTGACAAGGGTTCCTCGATAGACGCAATCGTCTATTTGCCCTGAATTCGGGCGGAAAGCTCTGATTGTTATCTGCGAGCTCTCCTGGCCCGCCCGAGGACGACACGAGCACGAGCAGGACGTGATTTCGGCAGGATATTGCTCTTCTCGTCAAAAGCTTCCCCACTCCGGCATCTGCGGTCGGTGGAAGTTCGGCTAGATAGACGGGCGGAGTGGCAGACGAGCGAACCAGAAGCCGTCGAACGAAACCGAGCCCCGTATCCGAGACTTTGTTCGTCTTTTCTGTCCTGAGGATTTTGAAGCACACGTACGGATGAGTTCGCCAATATAAGTCACGGCTGTACGTCCTGTACTCGTCACAAACGTGTCGTGTAAATATCTCGCTCGACGCCACTCTGGGGCAAGCAAGTAGTATCGCATCCGTTCGGATATGCTCTCGACACTCTCAGCGAATCCGCAGACTTCGAGGGGCTTCGGAGACTTCAGCCATTTCATATTTCCGTTTCTTTGTAGTCTCTACCGTGCTTCCGGGCATGAAGCCAAAGTGGGGGAATAAAGCCGAAACTCGTGGTAGCGACGCCTATTGGCGAAACCGTCGTTCTTCCAAACTCCGCTCCTTGGGGAATACCTTCATCGGAATTTCGTGGAGATATACCATAAAACATCGATTCGATTGAGCACATAGGAATAGTTTAGGCGAAACGATTTCGAGAATATGTTTTTTCCTGAAGCGATGTCAGCTGCTCACAACGATACGTCCAGCGGAGGGTCCCTTCTGAGAAGAAGGGGGAATTATTGATCAAGCGAAAGCCTTTGTAAGATAAGTGAATAGAATCGTCTCAGGAGAACAAAAGTCTCCGACTCACGGAATGTGGCCGCCCGAATAGTCCCGCGTCCTCGTCCTACGTCAGCCATGTGCTTCCAACGATTCCTGCTCCTGAGCGTTTCCCTCGTTGCCGTCAGATTACCGGGCCTGCCTCCACGAGGAAGACGCGGAATTCCGTCTCTGCCCGAATCGGGCCGACCAAGCTCGTTCCATTCTGCTTGTACCAATCCCTTCGTGGGCTCGTGCTCGCCGACCAAGGCTGCTTGACGACTTCCCCCAGTATTGAAGTATTCTCCCCGAAATCGGAGAAATCCTCGAGGCCCGCCTCGCTCGTTCGTGAATCGACCTGCGCGTCGTCATCGCAGCACCTCCAGTCGTTTTGTCGTGCTGACAGACGGAGAAAAGCATCGCATCGTTTACCCACTTGAGGTGAGCTCCAGGTGCCCGGACGGAATTCGCTCACGCACAGAACGTCATGCGATCATGAAGCTTTGACGCGGGTGTGCAAGGTAGATAAATTACCCAGGCGGGTCGGGACCTGCCAGCTCCTGTTCTGCTTAGGACCGCATCCCTGTAGGAATGCAAGGCAACCTGGTGATGCCCTGCCACAGGGAGCGACTCTGTCTGAGTCAGCGTTCCTCGGCTCATTCTCTAACGAAGCGTCAGGCTCCTCTCGGAGACTGTCGACAGACACGGGTTGGCTTTACCAACCGAGAGACTGCCCGGAATTTTCCGAAGTCGCGGAGCTTCTTCAGAGCGTCTGGGTTTTGCGAGATTTTCTTGAGACTGCTGTTGAGGTTAGTGGAACAAGTGTGCTCCTTCGAAACTCACCCTGCGAGTTGACGGCTAAGGAGCGCACCTCGAACGCATGGCGTCTCCGAACGACAGTCTACCACAAAGCAAACTAGAACGCTGGACGACTTCTGATGGAAAACAGCTTATTCGACGACCTGTTTTTCTGTCCTTGTAAGGTCCTGGTCGGGAGTTGTTTGCGAAGGCAACTCCTGCTTGGCTTGTGGGGTAGGTTGAGCGACGACCAGTTCTCCTGGGAAAGAGTGTTTGTAGGGGGCGCTCAGAGCCAGGGTGGGAGGAGAGCATCGCAGAACGAAGAGGAGGGTGAGGACACCGTCGGAGGGGGAGGATTTGAGGGTTCGTGACAGTCTGGGTGGTGAATGGACAGAGTAATGTGGCGGAGCATTATCCACGATCTGTCAGCTTAGCCGTAGGGCTCACTCACAGACGAACGGGAGGGGAAAGAGCCGAGTCGAACGTCGTCGCTGAACATAAATGATCGATGGGGCTCTCGACCGATACTTGACCAGATCGTTTACTTCTCAAGGGAGCGCAAGTTGTCCGCCGGAGCCTTGTTCCTCCTTCAACCTGCGCAAACTCTGGTCACGATACGAAAATCCACTCCCGTGACGGCCTTGAACCCTGGCACTCTCTAAACAAAAACAGTCTCGGCTCCGGTCTCCTTGCTTCTTCATTTCGAGGCGATGAACTCGGAGATATCTTCTAGAGTTGAATTGAGAGAGTCTTTGCGGCGCTAATCGTCGAGTTGTGAAGAGAATCAGCTTCACCTGCTTACCGGGCAACGGCGATTCACCTGACTCCCGCTTGAATCATGACTCCCGCGACGGAAAATGCGTATTGACCCGTCTGATAGCCAAAGAACGAGCCGGGTCGAGAGTAGGATTCTGCCCCTTTCGTTCGCGGAAAGCCGGCATTGCAGCTCATGCCTCCGCTCTCCTTGTATCAGAGCAGCTGAGTCGGGGTCGGAGGCCGCAATGACAGGGAACCTTGTGACTCAAAGTGAGTCGGACTCCGCCATCCTCTCCTCTTATTCTCGCTTATCGGTACAAGCTACCTTCAGCTTCTGACGCTGCAAATCTTGCCCCGATGTGCCCATATCTCGCGGACAGCGTCCATGTCGGTAACCTCGTTCGCTCCCCTCGTACAGCACTCTCTATCCGCTCAATGAGCTTCGAAATCTACTTTTAGCAGTCAAATGAGATCGGTAGATCAGGGACGAACCTTTCAGCTCTCACCTCCCGTTTCTCTCTCTGGTCAATAGAGTGAGACAATATCGCCCTCGCATCCCCGATATGCACGGGGTCAGATGAAATTTATCTGGGCAGATCACGGGAAGATCAATCTGAACAACGGCCGAAGAAATATCGAGGTCTCTTCCGGAGGTATCACGGACATTAGACCACCTCTGAGAGTGCTCCTCGACCCTTCGCTGCTACTGCCAAGTTTGGTCAGTGCCTTCTATAGAAGAAAGTGGTCAGCTCACAGATTGCGGAGAAGACGTGCACGCTTGCAGCGGTCAATCGATGTTCCAAGGGCAAGACGGGGCCGTCTTTGACGGGGAAAAGGAGTGTTCAACGGGAAATTCATGGTCGACCTCGCAGATTCACTAACCGACGATGTCGACGACGCAGCGCGTTGGAGGGAGACAGCCGGAATCGGATTCCCCACGCGGGATGCCGGTTGGGACCATTTCCGATTTCCCAGAACGAGTTATATCGCTCGGGCGCTAGCGGGACAGGGCTTTGTGAAGGTCTTTCCCATTCCAAAAACAAACGAACGCGTGGTCGATCACATTTGAAACTCAATGTGGTCAGGATTGTCCTCGAATATTTTACTCGAGTTCCCGCATCGAATCATGGATTTCCTCAAGTAGCTCGACAAACATTGCCGCGAAGTCCGGGAGACCGGGAAAGAGATCGACGCCTCTGCAATTCACCGCCTTACGCTGTCTTTTGATTCTCTGAGCTCCGAGAGGAACCAGCTATCAAAACTATGCAGGGATCGCGATCGACAGTTCTCGATTTTCCAGGTTTCCCCCAGAGACTATCGAGATGCGTCGATAGGAAAGTTCCATATCGCATCCGGTGCCCGTCGCCCTGAGGAATTTCTTTTATTTCGGGTCCGCTATGAGTTGACGATCAGGTCCTACGAGCGAACATTTGAAATGGTATGCATAACGTTCATCGCTATCTCTATTCGTAAGAAGAGCTGAGCGGGGTTATCCCCGGGAGAGAACATCAATTTACGTCCGGATGAAGCTCCATCGGAATCGCATAGGCCGGAGAGATCGAGCCAAGCTCTGGCCTCAAGTTTGTGCTCCTCCGGACAATTGCTCTGCAAGCGCTCTTGAGGCTCTGGTCACGTACATAGAAGACAGCCGTACACTCATGAATACACATACATGAAAGGCCGCAAGATTGGAATATTCTTTTTCAGGCGATCGAGGGTAAGTCTCTCACCTCGACATCGCGGAGGTGAGGTACCGTCTCTATGCGTGTTTGCTCCCGGTTAATTCTCGGAAAGTTTTCTCCATTTCCATATAGCGCTTCTATCTATATCAGGAATCTGAACCGAGAGCGAGGTAGGGGGTATGACTGTGTTCGGCGCGATGCTTTCCCTTCACCAAGCCAGAATAATTTCTATGCTGCGGTCCTGCGTTTCGGATTCCGATGATTAAGAAGCTCGAAGCATCAGTCGAGATCGGTTCGACCACTAGACAAGAGTATCGATTCAGAAATTCAAGGATCCGAGTAGTCGAGCTTCGAGATGTGGCGAAGTCGAGTGAGAAAATCAATTTTAGTGTTCTCGGAAAAATTCACTTGCGCCGGTGTCGCGCGTGAAATCTCAGCGATAGTAGAGGAGTGCGAGACCGACATTGTTTCCGAGATTCGCCTCGATAGAACGGAGCACCTAAAGTCCAATGATCTACCGGTAACTGTCATCGATCGGTGAACCAGAAGCACCGGTTGCGCGAGATCACTCCGTGAACAAAAGCATCGAGCCCTCCACGGGAGCCCTCCTCCGATTCTATCATTGGTCCTCTCCACGGCAGTCTCTCTCTTCATCAATCGTCTTTTTCTCGCTCGTCCGCCCACTAGCCCGAGAAATGACTCGCTCGCTGAGTGAGCGCGATTACGCTGGCTCCTTCCGAAGAGCTCGACAAAACGAAAACCTCCGTCGTTTAGTGCCAAGAGGTTGGATACAGTCGGCTCGCTGCGAGATTGACAATAAGTCAAACGCCCGTGGTGGTGGTGGTGGGTGCGTTTTCCAATGTGCTGAAGCTTCTCGAGGCGCAAGCGAGCGATTACAGAGGCAGGATGGCCGGGGAGCCTGTGAATGGACCTCGAGTCGTCACAGTGGTCAAGTCGGAGACTGGTTTCGGCTTCAATGTCCGGGGACAGGTTAGCGAAGGAGGTCCTTTGAAGTCCATCAACGGAGAGCTCTACGCTCCACTGCAACATGTGAGTGCCGTTCTGGACGGCGGCGCTGCGGAAAAAGCCGGAATTCGTCGAGGAGATCGAATACTTGAAGTGTGAGTACTTTGAGGCGTATCCGAGACGGAACGGAACAAGTAATTCGCATCGATACCGTCTGGCATCGACTGGATACTCGCTGAACTTCACACGATGATCGAAATGTCATCCCAGAGTGTTCTCGAGACCATAAGAAAACGCTAGTGAGAGAAAATTGCCTCCATCGTCGATTATCGCTCACGTTGCTTTCATCCGGTCGTATTCGTATGAAGGTGTTTCATTTTCTGAGGCGTTTCTCGACATTAACCTAATCGGCGAGTGTTCTCGGGTGTATGACCGTCATCGGCCGCGCAATGTGGCTACCAGTTTCGCTGCTTATCAATCTTCATCGTGGCAGTGAACGGCGTCGCAGAAACCAAGATAAACATTCATTTCGTGTCGTTCCACGTAAAATTCAACTCTCTCACGATCTTCTACACATGATGCTAAACTAGCAGGCTCTAGCATGACTCCTGATCCTGCGTTTGTGCACAAGAAAATAAGCTCCACGGCGTGGACCTCCGCTCGCAGCTCGAGGAACGAGAGGTCCGTTGAGATATGCGAAACTTATCCTAGCAAGCCCTCCGTCCGGAGACTCGTTCGAGATTCGAATCCGCTCCGAATCTTCGGTCAGTTCTCTCGCTGTGGCAATCATCTGGTGGAGAATGCTCCTCCCAAAGTCGGCAGTCCTTTTTACCGAACTCCCCGCTCGACGAAAATAAATCGGTCAACAGTAATTGCTAGCTGGTGCCTCCCGCTCTCTGTAACGTTAATCAATCGTTACTTGTTCAGAGTAATCTCGGCGGATGTCGATTAGGGACAGGCTGGTCTTCGAATCGGCGATCTATGAGGAAATGTCTCGCATCGCCGAGGTTGGCATAGTCCCGCCGAGCATCGTATCGGAGTCATTTGAATTCGTTCGCGAGTTGAGCTTCCTTAGAAACTTCGACGCACCAAGATCGGACTCGGCGATTAGGCATTCGGAAAAAGACCCCGATCCCGTGGAGTTCGCGATCACATGCGAGAGGGCTCATCCACCTGAACGAACTACTCGACGGGAAGCGCATATCTGGTTATCGCTCGATAATCCTCTGCGGAACACGAGTTAGGGAGCTGATGAGCCCACGATCTTACACGACGATGGCCTGGATCGATTGCGATGGAGCGTCGTCGATGAAACGACATCCAGTAGGTAATCTCGTGTGTTACGCGGAGTCGAGTACGCTGAGTGCGGCGCGACCAGATGAGGCACCTGGGTGATATGAACAAAGACGTCATTGACTTTATTGAATGAATTATTCGATTTTTTTCAAATCCACGCTCTATTCCAGAAATGGCGTGAACGTCGAAGGTGCAACCCATAAGCAAGTCGTCGATTTGATCAAAAGCGGTGGGGACAAACTGAAGTTGACCGTTATCTCTGTGACGGCTCAGGAGGCGGAGCGTCTCGAGCCTCAAGAAGATAGTGGAGGGATCTCGTACATGGATTACTCCGAGAAAAGGAGTTTACCGATCAGTATTCCGGACTATACCTGGTGTGAGCGAGGCGGCGAAAAATTCGCGGTAAGTCGGAAGTCGTCTAATGGCTTATCGTGTATGTGTGAATTTTGTTCCTAAGCGGGATCGCCGAGTCGGACTCGATCAGGGTGCAACTCTGCTGAAACGACGCTCGCTAGCCTCGAAGGTCTCATAGATTCATGCAGTTTATAACGACGGTCGCTTCTTCGATAGATTTACAACATCTACATGGCCGGTCGGCATCTATGCTCACGGCGGTATCGGGAGTTCTCCAATCTCCACGCGAACCTCAAGCGAGAGTTCCCCGATTTCGCATACCCGAAACTCCCCGGAAAATGGCCCTTCGCCTTGTCCGACCAACAGTTAGATTCGCGTCGTCGAGGCCTCGAGCAGTATCTAGAGAAAGTCTGTGCCGTCCGTGTGATCGCTGAGCATGACATCGTCCAGGATTTCCTAACAGACGATGACGAAAATGGCGGGAGCCTTTCCACCGTCGACTTGAAAGTCTCGCTGCCAGACCGGGAGACCATCGTGGTCACGGTGCGGAAGAACTCTCAGACCACAGAGGTGTACGACGCAGTCATGTCGAAAGTCGGCATTTCTATCGACGTAGCGAAATACTTCGCGCTCTTCGAATACGTGGAATTCAACTTCGAACGCAAACTCCTACCCAATGAATTCCCCTACAACTTGTACATCCAAAACTACAGTACGGCGACAGCCACCTGCCTAGTGATTCGAAAATGGCTATTCTCGATCGATCTGGAAGTCCGTCTCGGCGAGACGGTCGACATCGCCCGCAACTGGCTTTTCTGGCAAGCTGTCGACGATGTGAACAAAGGTCAGATCAAGCCTGGCAACCAGCTGTACCAGCTGAAAGCTCTACAGGTGAGCGCATCTCGAAAGGCGGTCGGACGTATCAATTCCAAGCTGCAGTGAATTCCGGAGCGTGACGCGACCAATGAGCATTGTTTCTCCTCGCGGGAGGACAACAACCTTGTCCGAGTAACGCTGGAAGTCAATCGGAGGTCTGTTCATGACAGCATGCAAGACGGCTGAGTCAACTTTGAGTTCTTTTCTCTCCATGTTAGGACTCCGAAGCTCGGAAGGACGAATATTTAGCCCTGGCGCGCAGCCTGGACGGTTACAGCGAGATCTCGTTCCCTCATTGCAACTGCGACGCTCGGAAAGAGGGTCACGTCGTCGCCTCGGTGGGGAAAGTCAATTTCAAACTCCAAGCTTGTAAAGAAGATGGCACACTCGAAAACCAGATAATCGAATTCGATTGGGACCATATTTCCGGTTGGGAAGCCGACGAGGACGGAATGGCCTTCCAATTCGAGTACGCGAGGCCCGATAAAAAGCCTCGAACAGTTAGGATCTACACGCAATACGTAAGTGGCGTAATCATGGCTTAGATATCCTGGAGCGCATAAATAATGAGCCTTGGGGTCCGAAACGATCGACGCCTTAAACGATCGTCGTTCTCGTTCCAGTTCGTGTTCATGATGGATTGCTTCGAACGTGTCGCCGAGGAGCGCAAGTGGGCCACGAATAAGCCCGTGACCGCATCGAAAGTCAGCGAGTGCTGAGATTCCGCGAAGCCTCTCACCTCCGTCGGATCTCAATCATCCAATACTGTATGGGACGATGTTGTTCGAGATGATTCGAGTTGTCATCGAGTTAGCGTGTGGCCATAATGCGTCGTAACAATTGAAGCCCCGGAGTTCGTTTGCGTTCTCCATTCATCTCTTCGACTCTGTTCAAGAGCATCGGCGCAGCGCTTACAATACCGAAAGACTGAAGATATACTCGTTTGTGATACGCTGCTCTTGGAACAGCGCAATTTGTAAACAAGAGATTTCGTCTCTTCTCCGAGAGGAGTCCGTCAGAACTCGCAATCAAGTCTGCGAAAACATCTCAGAAACAGATAAACGTGCCGGTCCATGAGACCACAATCAATCAAGCAACCAAACAAACAGGCGAATCAGAGGCTATCAGACCCCTAGTCGCCTGGCGCATTTTTTCTCAAAAATATTCCTCATTGCGCTTCGGTCGGTCACTGGTGGAGCCCACTCCGACGTTCGTGAGAACTCGTTTCCAGAGACGCGAAATAATTGTTGAGTTGTAAGGAGTAGCGAATCGGTTGCCTTTCAAGGAGCAGCCGTTCTCGCCACCGCCGCTAGACGATGAAGTCTAGCTCCGTAGTGTAAAATCAATTGATGTCAATTGAGATAGCGCAAGAAGTGTTCATCTGATCCGAGCCTGGTGTATATCCGGAGCGAATAAATTGTAGGGAATCGCGAGACGTTTTCGAAGCAATCGGGCGCAGGGTCGTGGAAAACGTCTCAATGTCGGTAGGTGACCGAAGCGAACCAACTCATGCGGGAAGAAATCGGCTTCTCGACGGATTCCGAGAATTCTTGCAGAGCCGTGAATGAGATTCCGATTCAGATGTAGAACGATGTAGAGTGGACGTAAGTATTTTGTTATTTCAGCGGTGAGCAGCGATTTGTTTCCGTTGGCCCCACTCGGCTGAAAGCTTCCGTATGTCAATTTTTGCATAGTCTCGAACGGCAATGAAGAGGAAAGTTCATTTCGCCATCGGGGCGAGACACGGAAGTCGGTACCAGTCAATTTTGTTCGTCAGGCGAGCCCACGACCCCATCCTCTGAAGCCCGATCTGCATATGATGCGTATACGTCGACTTTCGTGGAAAGTTCCTCGACCTCCTTTTTTTCCATCGCGAAGGGAAGATATCTGAAAGCGTTCTGTGAGAATATCCTTCCCCTGATCCATCGCTAGTGCTTGAGGGATCAAATTTCGTTTTCTCAAGAAATGTCTCGATCTGAAAATTGGATCTCTAGCTTTGGATTGGTGTGCCTCAATAATCCGCATTGGTCAAGCCTCGCGTCGTATTGGCCCATTGGACTACTGATGCAATGAAGAACATGGATAACATCGAGCTTGAGGTTAGCGAGAATTATCGGGGACAGGCACATGTAATAATTCATAGGTACACAGCTGCGAGTCGTCGAGCACCCAAACGGAAAGAGCAGCTTCTACGCGTTGCATTGATGGTCCAACCTCGAGAATCTCCAAAGGCCATATCGGACCTACCTTCACGTAGCGCGGACGGGAAAGTGGCCATCATTGAAGCATACAACCGCGAATCAAGGTGGAGAAGTTACCCTTAAATAAAAGATTGCGCCCGAACCTTGTGTCGTCCCTTAGATCATGAATATCCTTGCCTTCAAGAAGAGTGATCCGATTTCACCATTCAGTCGACGGCTGCTTCCATGAATCCCGAATCCATTCACTAAATCCTGTGAGCGAGGGATTTGGATAGATGTGAGGAATACGTCGTATGACATGTTTTCGAAGTGTATTTATTTCAGGAATAAGACTATGGAGAGGAAAACATCTCCCGCGGAACATGCAGACAACTGATCCTTCCTGGTCTAATCCAGTCATACATATTCTGAACATTTCATCATTCAGAAATCCGCCGTCATAGTGACCGACATTTTGAGATCCGAGTTCAGCCAAAACAGTATACAATAGAGCATCGCTCATTCCTGCGAAACATTGAACTAGACCGCACGCTGACATAATCATAAATTCATGCTGGTCAAGAGAAAATCCTATCTCGATTCATGATGTGGGTTCTCAATGCTCTTCCCTCCCCGTCCCCTATCGATCCATTCGTCTCCCCCACAACCTGAGTGTTGATGTCGAAGAATTCTTCCGAGCCTCCTGCCACGAACCGAACACGGCAAATAGCACGATCGACTCTATAGCCGCGTGTCCATGGAGCTACTCCCGGAGTTCTGGAAACGTCGATGGTGGTTGTCATTTGGCACGTGGAAATTGACAATATAGTCGCCATTTATCCGCTGCACCGAAATGACGAAAGGATCTTTGGGATGGAAGGTGAAAGCAGCAAGACGCTTCTGAGGCGGACGATTGCTCTGTATGTGCTGGTTGGTGTGCATTTTGTAACGTAATAGCCCCGAGTCTCTGCAGTAGAACTTTATGGGGTACTCGCCGGCTCCCTTTGGACGTTCGAACATCGATACCCACTTATCATCGTAGGAGAAAAGCGATAGATCTAAATATGGACTCGCGCTGAAACTCTGACAGGAGATCGGAAGTTGACTCAGAAGACGTTTCACCATCTCCTGCTGACCGCCGAATCGTGCGTTGAGGATTGTTTGCTTGAAGCGTTGAAGAATAAGCTTTGCATTGGCGTTGTTGGACGGGCTACACGTCGACGGCAAGTTTCGGAAGTATTCACAGAAATTGTCGGCCAAATGCAGGAGCTCCTCGGAGGTGTTCGTGTAGACGTCGACTACTTCGCCCACCGAGATCCGGTAGACGGAGAACAATGAGGGTCCTGTTGCGTCTTGAGACCTAGTTTGTAGGGATTTCTCCTTAACATACTTTATCAACAGATGATCCTCGTCCAGAAGCTGCATCTTCCCAATCCGCAATTGGTTGATCGCTCCGAACAATTGACAGAACTCTCGGATTTGCCGAGTATCTCCGGCACTTTTTCGATACAGAGCCGCGAGAAGACGATGTTTCAGGGAATTCAGCCAAGCCTCCCCAGAAGTCGGCATGATCGCTCCGCTGGGGTCTCGGACGGGTTCTACTGAATCGACCAATTGTTGATCATCCGGAAAGAGGAATCTTCCGATTTCATGTTTCTTGGTGAATTTCCCACCGTCTACATTGTAGATGTGGATGGTTTGGTGCTGCAGGGAAAGGATCGCGAGTGTCTGATTGTAAAGGTAAATCCCGTGGTTGTGCGTGAGCAGTATCCTGTCGACCTTGAACGTCAGTCGATCGCAGACAACTCCCCGATGGATGTCGATCAGATGGAACGCAATGTCTTCGCATGGGAACTGGTTGTTGATTTTCAGAGATTCGTTCGTCGTGAAGATTTGTGCGGGCTCGGGTTCCCGCCCGCAGGCGCCAGACGAAGCGACGATAAGATATCTGAAAAATCATATTTTCATGCAGAGAGCATCTTTCACGGGGTCATCCGCGGCGCAATGAGAACCGACTCATTCCTTACCTGCCATCATTTGTAAAAATTGAACATTCCCTATTCAGCTGCTCGTGGGCGTCGGAGATCACCACCACACAGTGCAGGTGACGGAAGTACTTCCCGAAAGCTTCGTGAACCACCCTGGTATCGGTGGTGTGATCTCCTGGTAAATCGTTGATCAATGAAGCCCCACCTTGGGGTCCCTGGGGAAAGATTAGGACCAATAAGGCAGGGGAATTCTTCAGCCGTCGATTAGAAAGCATGTCGCGAGGATGCCCACCAGATATTTGAAGAGTTGAATGCAGGTCTGATCCGATGAGAAGGCGAAGAGATATTTCCCGTCGAGGGTGAACTTTTTCAAGAACACTGCCGGCTTGTCGATTCCTAGGATTGTGAAGCGAGGCACAACATTCTGATGCAGTTGGCGCGATATAAGAGCAGCATTCACTCGTTGCCTGGAAAACGCGGGCACATGTATTGTGGCGGCGACATAAACGGAAACTTCGCTTCAGGATGCCCTAGCGACCACTGATTTCTTATGCGTGAGCACCCAAATGAAATCACCTGCAAGCATAGGCTTCTCGCTGCATAAGGCGGCACAATAGATTCTGATTGGGAATCTTCCTCGGATGCAGCCAGTCCTCGTCTGGCACTTCTTGATCGGATTCATATTTTCTTTTGGTTCCCATCCTTTGCGCCGGTATGGTCCTGGACTCTGAAAATTCAAGATATCCGTATTGAACGCTGGGTTTCATGAATAACCGTGTGGCGTGCGTCCGCGTCTGGGGGATTCGAACTCGGGCCGGGCGTATCCTCTTGGTCCGGTCTCTCCGTACGTCAAACTCATTCACCGGTTTCTCAGCATCGAACAGCCGCTGGAGACTTCACGAATCTTAGAGAAAACGCCTCTGACACTTCGTTCGAAACCCGAGGAGAACGTGCGATTGAGTAAGCGTCGTTTTGCTTAGTCGCGGTGTAAGCAGCTGTTGCGAACTTGTTCTCTAGGATTGTTTCGCAACAGCTCTATTCGATTTAGCGATGCTGTTCGAATATTGGACGCGTCTGAGGAGAGTGCGAAGACTCTCGAATTTATGTGATACAGCTCCGTTCCGCTTGTGGGACATCGACGCTTTCGGCGAATCATTATCGCTATCTCGATGTTCTTCCCGAATTCTCTAGTTTCCTTTTACAATCGTTCATCGAATGAGCATCGCCTGGGCTCTGATTCAGCTTTCGGTCAGTCATCCCACTTGTTCATGCTCACCTATGTCGAGCTTATATCCAACACATGTTCGTCATCGCGTTTCGGACATCTGACACCGACAGAGAAGCGAATTTGTTCGAGAAGATCACAGATCACAGGCTTCCCGTAGCCACCAGAGTCAATTGACATCATTCACAATAAACAGACGACGTCAGTTCTTCGACCTGTTGTTGTTATTCTCAGAGAGAGAGGGCCTCACTAATGTTCGGAAGGCAACAGACATTTTTTCATGTACCCCAACAACAACTTTTTCGGGCTGAACCACACAGCCGAGGTTCCAATGTGCTGGCTCGTCGCTCATTCTTTCATTGTGCCACGCATGGTCCAGTCGCCCTGCGATCCGAAATAGTATGGTCTACTGTTTATCGTGCATGCTAAAGCGGGGTCGAAATTGCGGAAGAATTTTAGAGCGGACGCAATCGGAACGGAGAATGGGAGGGAACGGAGGGAGTCGCGCGGTTTCTTCCTTTTCAAAATGGCTGACGGATTCCGACGCTTAAGAGTCGCGAGCGCTATCGCCTTGTTGAGGGGCTGGAGCGGGCGCTTGAACACGGTATCGGCGCTTTTCGGGGGTATTCCAAGCTCAGAGGGGGGAATTTGTATGAGGCGATGTTCGAGGGAAGTCGTCAGATTGAGCTGCCCACCACTGTATCGGGTAAATTGGCTCATTTTGAGCAATTTTCGCCACCAGGGTCTTCGAGTTCGGCTTCTCTGACGAGTTACTGACAGGGTCTCGCGAGGGACCGATGATTTGGTAAGCTCGAATCGTTCACCATTGCCGTTCTCCTCTTCGTTCCTTTTCTCCCCGGTCGTGGCTGGACAAAGATTCCGTAGAAGCTGTACACATTTCGGGGGACTCATACGTACGTCTACATTCAATCCCACTTCCCTCGCTCAATCACTCAACACTCAATCAACCTAACTTTCGCGACCGGCATACAGACTGTTTCAATTTCGAGCGCGTACGTTCTAGTGCAAACACACGCATTTTTTGAAGTGGGCGACGGCTAATCGGAGCTCGTCGCTACCGGACCATTCTACTCCGATCATATCCTCCAGGGATGGGAGCAAGCATGCTGTGTGACCAAGCCGCAGGACAACACCCGGATGAGGGTATAATGTGTATCTCTGTAGACCGGAGGAATAAGGATTTCACTTTTCCCGATTTCTCGGCGCATTGCATCGATCCGGAGGGAGCGCCAGCAAGGCGGAAGGAGCCGACAGAGTGAAAATAATTCAGGATACATGTGAAAATGACCGAGAATCTCTGACTGAGCGGTTGAACTGAAGGATAAATGTCGAGGAACCTCAATTTCGAGACGTTACTGGTTGAACGCAAACCATCTGTCACCTCTCGCAACCGGAGCGCACTATCAGGGATATCGTCTTGAGGCTCGGGCAAGAAGTTCCTCCTCTAGGAAGAAAAAGCTGGAGGAAGTGAAGAACTCAATTATAAGCTTCGGTAGGTTCTCGGGGGGATCGGAGGAGCCTTTCAGTCGTTAGATAGGGAAGGGATGTGAATATTTCTTCTTGCCCGGTCTCTCTCGCTGAAGCGCTCGATCATAAGTATTGTAGTTCCCGCACCTCATCTCACATCAGAGTCTGCAGTGAATCCTGCTTCAGGATTCGAGCCTGTGGATCAAGCCATTTTCTAAACAACGGCAAGCTCCCTCGATTGGAATACTTAGAGCCCTCTGGCTTCCCACGATACAAATAATGGGGCTCGATCGGTGCATCGCTCAGAGAGTCCATCCGCTTTCGTTTCCGCTATCAAAAAACTGATTATTCTGAAATTTTCGCTGTCTCCACTTGAATCGATCGGAATATCGCTTTGCTCTTGCGGTGTTCTCTTCCGCCGAAATTATAGCCGATTCCTGTCCCCGATGATGCTTGCTCCGAGGTGGAAGCAATATCGCCCGGAAAACGCATCTTGGAGCTCTTGCGACACTCCTCTCTACTCATGATGAGAGAACAGCTTCAGTGACGTATTCAGAATTCACCTCGTACACTCTTTTTCACTCCTCAGTTTACGAGTCCATCCTCATCGAACAGAAGTAGGTAAATGAAGTGATATGATGATACAAGCAAACGAACACAGATACACAGCCGTAGATCGAGGTAGATCGTGCTGCGACCGTTACAAGGGAGCAAGGCGATCGTTGAAGTCTCCGGCGTCGCCACAGGAAGGAAGGGAGGGCACTGAATTTGGGGCTTTCGAATCATACAACCATAGAAGTCGCGGATGAATCGACGGTGATTGATTGGGATCCTTTGTTTCATCAAGACCCATCCGTCTGATGCTGACATCAGTGTTCCCCATGCTCATGTCAAAAACTATGCAGGAATTCTGTGTACGGTCCAGGACAACTGGGCATTTGGGGCTGAGTTGAGTCTTTGTCGATGGAATATGGACTCGTGGGATCAGGGATGTTCGAAATAATAGGAGTAAAAAGTAAGTGAGGACTGCACACTCATTCCAAAATCCAGGACTTGTTAGGTGCAGAATTCTACAGCTCCTGAGCTCCAGAATTCTAGAGTTTCACAGTTTGGCATCTCCAGCATCAAAGTATCGCGGAACTGACAATTATAACTCAGTCGGACTCTCAGTCTGTGAGATCAGAGAAGAGTCCAAGAAGCGCCCCAGAAGCGCCCAAGAAGCGCCCAAGAAGCGCCCGATCTCAGTTTCGTCGTTCGAAACCGCCGGAATTCGGGGTACTGATCTTTGCCGAAAGGGACGCGATCGAGCGGTCTGCTCATTTTTCTCATCTCAATTTCTGCGGGGAATGGCCGTGAGCCGTTTCTTCTCCTCCAATCGGGTCGATGCTGCTCCTTGAGACACTCCGAATTGCTGCGGGTCTCCAATTCGGTTTCCCATTCACCTCCCAATCGCCTGGCAGTGCTCAGTACTTCGGCTGGGTCATCTTCGCCATCGTCGGTTTGAGCCCTTAACAGCAGTCACCGTCATCTTCGCTTCAGAGCCTTGGGAAGCGTCGAATCCTGATTCATCCGATCCGTTAAGATCGCTCAGCCTCCTCGAATCGAATGACTGCGTAGCGGTCCGGCTCCCGCTCAAGGAGCTCGACATCGGAATTGCGTGGCGCAGGTGAATTTTCATTTCGGGATGCAACCGTGATCAATGGACTGGCTACATGACACCGGTCGCTCGCGGTCCGCGCAGCTAGCGAGGGAGCTCCGTTCGCGAGGACGAAACAAGTGCCAACTGACAGAGGTTCTGAGAGCCGTCCTTCTTGAGCCTGTCTGCAGCGTCGCGACCTCGGGGTCCTGGGAGAGTCCAAGGAGTCTTCCATCTGTGAATTGAGCGAGAGGATAAAGACGACTCACTCCGAAGACGAGACGGCGGTGGATTTCCCCTTCTACGAGTTTCGATACTCACCATATGATATGGAGAAATGTCTGAGAAAACCGCTTCAATTCGGAGAATCGCTGAAACTCCATGTGTACAATATCGAATTGAAAAAGCCCGACTCATTTTCGCATTCTATAACTCGATCCGAAGGAAGATGCGCTCGTCTCGAGATGGTTCCACCGCCCTGTATTCCTCGCAAAGACCTTGCGTGCTGCTCTGCGCGCTTCCGCGAGTGACTTTCAAACTTGCCCGCCTCAACTAATTTGTTTTGTAAGCGCGCAGACAAAGCGCTCAGGAGGTCGATTCGAGGGGAAAATTCTTCTTATTCACAGAGTTCGCGAGATTTCCCCGTCTCCGAACATGCTGGGACGTCTGGCCCGAGTGGCTCTCGTCGCGAGGCAAGCCCCTCTGAATCGAGGGGCTCAGGCGCCGGCCTTGGGCCGCTTACTCTCCACAGATGCTCCAAGTGCACCCACAATTCGAAGACCCGATGCTCCAGTTCGACAGCAGCTCACGGTAAAGCGTTGTTTCAAGCTTCTAATTATCGCGCCCTGCTCCCGGCAAGCTCCAAGCCAGATTGGGCATCTAGAGACTCGATTACTCAGTCGCTGGGAGATCTGTCGTTCCTGGTGTCCATTCGATTCCTAGCTGTCAGAGACCTGCTCCAACAGGCTTCTCGATCCGAAACCTGGTCGCAGACTGTAACGCGGACCTCAATTCCAGGACGTCGGGAAATACGCGGCCGCCTGTCTCCCGCGCTTCGTACAGAAGGTGCAATTAACAGCTGGGGACGAGTTGGAATTACTTATCGCTCCCGAAGGAGTCATCCCTGTGATCGCTTTCCTGAGAGACAACCACATGACTCAGTTCCATTCATTGGCCGACATCGCCGGAGTGGATGTTCCCGCCCGAAAGTATCGCTTCGAAATTGTCTACAATCTTCTCTCGATCCGCTACAATTCTCGGATTCGAGTCCGAACTTACACGGACGAACTTACACCTATCGATTCGATCTGTGAGATATTCAAGGGAGCAAACTGGTACGAGCGAGAAATCTGGGATATGTTCGGCGTCATGTTCCACGACCATCCCGATCTGAGGCGGATCCTCACCGATTACGGATTCGAGGGTCATCCCCAGCGCAAAGATTTTCCTCTTTCGGGCTATGTTGAGGTCCGGTACGATGACGCCCTGAGGCGAGTGGTCGTCGAGCCTCTGGAACTCGCTCAAGAATTCCGTAAATTCGATTTGAAAACTCCTTGGGAGGTGTTCCCCAATTTCCGATCGAGTGAAGAGGTACCGATCGGGAATCTAGACTCGCCGCAAGGCAAGATCGAAGAACCGAAGAAATAGGCGATGTGGCACTTGAGTCTACCAGGAAAATATGTCCACGGAAAAGAGATCGCTATCACCTGTGCATAGAAACCTCGCGCGAATAAAAAACGCCGTCGTACAACGTGCATATCGTTTTTATTGATCCCATCCCAAACCCGAACCGGACTCCGCCCGACGGTCTCCTCGTAGGACGTGCATGACGGAGCTCAGTCGTGATTCCCGGAAGAAGTGGTCTCTACCGCTTCTACCGCCAGGTGTTTATCAACATGATACTTAGCATTGTAACTCTCACATAATCTCTTAATGCACAATAGAAGGACAGGAGCAACCAGGGAACAGTTGTTCGTGTATCTATAAATTATCTCCACTTATGTTCGTCTATGTACACAGTTGAACAGTAGTGCACAGGAGTTTTTCTGAACAGTAATTCTGGCTTCTGGGTTCCTCATCGATTTTCGCCATTGTCGTCGTTATCGCAGTTCGAATCCTTTCGAAAATCGGATATTCTCTGAGCTGCTTGCGTCCTTGCTCCGTTCGGTCCGCACAGCTAAGCGTACTCGATCACTCGACTTTGGTGCGCTTCTCCGCGGGACCGTCGCCGCCGTTCCTCCTGTCACCGCGAGCAGGCCGCTTTCCACCTGAAGGTTGATCACCACAAATAAAACAAATCTGTGGATGGCAATGAAACGGTCCCGTTATTTTGGTGCGAGGGTGACTCGCTGTATGGGACCTCCCGGACATGCGACAATGTTCCAGAGCGAGGAACAGCATCGCATTCCGAGTGAGCATCAATTTAAACAGCAAGCAGCAGCATGCGCTCCTGACGGCTCTATGAGCTTTGATCTTACCCTTTCCTCGGTATCCCTCGTGGCGATGCTGTCCAGCACGCTTACGATGAGCTCTTTCATCTGAAAGTTTCCAAGTCAGTTACTGCGATTCCGACAGACGGCTCGGTGAAAGATCCCACCTAGGTATCAGGTCACCAAGCACCCTCTCGTTCCCTCAATGAATTCGGGCTAGAATTCAGAGAAACTTACTTTCGAATCTTGCCATCTTTATCTGGGCTTGCTTCTTGTATTGCTCAGTTTCGGCCTCTCCTTCGAGAACTTCAATTGGGAGTTCCTTCTCCTTGATGATGATCTTGCCATCTGTGGCCAATTCTGCGGCCGCATTTTTGGCACCGTTCGCTTCAGAGAATCTCAGTACTGCCTGTAATGATCATCGGAATTAGGCTCTCCATGGATACGTTCATCCCTCTCCGGAACAGTGTTTTCGGATTATCAGATCCACAAGGGTTCGATCACCGATTCGAGTCGATGGCGGAACACTTGTACCAAACCTATTTTCATGTTCGAGTTGTGTTCAGCAAGCAAACTATTCTCGCATGGGCTTGCATGCCTTTGTTGGACTCGGGTTCCCGCCAGGAGCGGGAATATTCATGCGCTTAGATACTGGGGCAAATGATTTCGACTTACTCGACCCTGCTCTGCGTCGATGTCGACGAAAGCAACTTTGTTTGCCGTCGCGTTGAAGAATTCTTTGATTTGCTTGAAATCGATTTCATATTCCTTCTTGATGTCGGTCAAGATCATGAATACTCCTGGCTTCTTATCCATTTTCGCGAGGGTTTCTTCGAACTTGGCCAGATCGTTGAGATCATTCTTGTCGTCGTTGTCGTTGGCTTTGCGAGCACTCTTCTTCGTAGCCCCTTTTTCCGCCTCTTTCTTGTCCGAGTATTCTTTCGCCATCAATAGAATCAATTCGTTGTCCTTGTACTTGAGTCCCTCTGCCTTTCGCAGCTTCTGGGCGGCCTCAACGCTCGGCAGGAGCACGAAAACCGAACCCTTGAACTCTCGATTGTAGGAGTATCGTCGCATTTTGACGCAGCCGGCCTCGAATTGCTTGAAAAACTCGATCAAGTCATCGAGAGGAGTGTCTTTCGGGAAACCTTTAACGTAGACCGTTTTATCAAGGAATTGCTGCTTGAAAGCTTCTGGGAGAGGTCTCTCCGGATTTCGGCGGAGCTTCGTTCGGTCCTCCGAAACCTCAATTAGACCACTGTCGCTGGAGAGCACAGCCTTTGAGATCATTTCTCTGTCTGTCGTGAGACTTCTCAGGCGGTTGAAAGTCAGTAGCACATCCAAGTCGATCCCTGAAACACGAGTCGGTCAGATCGGATGCCCTTCCGCTCCGGTTTCCCAGAGAAGCGCATACGGATATGTCGTCGAAAACACCCAGTGTTTGCAAACAGGTCCTACTCACATCCTTCGTTTTCCTGGGTTTTGCTCAGGAGGAATTTGTCCTTGGGCAGATTGAAGTCGCCGAAGTAGTGCTGCAAATTAGAGAAATGAAAGAGCTTATCTCTCTAATTCTGAAGCAACAGGTCATGTACGAAACGAGAAAGAAATGGAGCAGGTGCCTTAATCCAGGTGAGGCCCCTCAGAGTCTCCGAATAGCGTTAGCAATCGCCTCGGACTACAAATTCCATATTCTTCGACAACATAGCGACGGATGGCTCGGGGCAGGGATCGCCTGCTTACGGCGCTCAATTGCGTACCCACGGAGAGGGGAACCTCCGCCAGCTCTGATCACTGCGAAAACTTCAGGCGACAAGCGTCGGGATCCTCTCACTGAGTTGGTACAAACCCGAAGAAAGTATGTTCACGAGATACTGATTCGTGTGAACCCAAGACATGCCCTCGCCGATGCTCCGAGTCCGCGGTACTCACCTCGACCTGGTAGATGATTTTCTCTCGGAGATCTTCATACGTAGGAACAGGTGCGGCACTCTCGACTTTCTCCTCGGTCGTCATTTTTGTCCACAGAAAGTTTTAAGATCGCTGTCACGAAGCAAGGTGCTGTCGGTTGCGGATGAGCGACCAAAAACTTGACTCCGCCTAGCCTGCTTAGCCCTGCACGTGCTACAGCAACAACGGAAGAGCGACTGATGTGCTGCTCTGTGCAGAAAAGAAGAAGCTGTGTTGAGAAAGATCACTACCATCATGCTCGAGCAACAGTCAGTGGGTGAGGAGCACGTGCCGCGGGTTCGAAAAATGCCCGCCAAACAGAGAGCAGCGGCATTTTTCCTCGAAAATCTGAGTTTCTGATCGGTGAGAAGGACTTGTCTTTTGGAGGAACTCGGTTCTTGGGGTTCAAAGTCCCCTCGCCGGGTCTCTGACAGAGAAGCGCTCTCATTGAACCGAACCCCGAAAAATCGCTCCGCTGGTCTAGGATGTGAGCTTGTGGGTTGGGTGCACGTGCCGCAGGTTCGAAAAAAGCCCGCAAAGCAGGAAACAGTGGCGTTTCTCTCGCGAATCCGAATTTCTGATTGGTGAGGGGGAGCGCCTCGAATAAACGATGGGCTCGGATGCTGGAACTCATTGTCCCGCCGCCGGATCTCTGATGACTGATGGAGCTCTCTCATTTGAGCGAGTCCCGAGAACTCGCTCCGCCAACCAACGATTTCAGCTTTAAGCGTCGGAATATCACTTGTTTGTTTACCTGCTCGCCGGGCCTGCTGATGATAGCTTGGATCCGCGCACCCCGTGCTTCTCTACGGAATATCCTGACCGTGAATGAATTCCTGGCTTCTCATGGAATGACGATCGAAAAAATCATCCAGATCACAGTCCTCCATCGGGGAGGATAGCGACAGCTTCCCGTATCGAATGTCGTGAGTCTTGGGATCAATTCCTCTCCGGAAACAGGCGAGCGACCCCGAGTCTCAACCACTTGGAGTACATTCAGACTGAAGACAGGAGCATTTCAATCAGATCCGCCTGACTACTAAACTAGAGGTACCGCCGAGTCGGATCGAAGATGCCTCGAAGATGCGCTTGATTTTCTTGGGTTCCGACAGGTTCTCGGTCATTTGTTTGAGAGCCTTAATTTCCCACGTCAACGACTTGAAATCCCTAACGGTCGTGACTAATAACTACACCCCGGTGTTCCGGTGCGCAGTTGAAAACAATATTGTTCCGATGGAATGGCCGTACAGGCTCCCGCCAAAGCGATTTGATCTAGGCATCGTGGTCTCTTTCGGCTATATGATTCCGTCCGCTTGCATCGAGCAATGCACTCATGGAATGGTGAACGTCCATCCGAGCCTTCTGCCTCGATGGCGCGGTGCTGCTCCGCTCGTCCACACTCTGCTCAATCGAGACAGTCGGACTGGGGTGTCTCTGATCACGGTGGCGAAAGAGCGTTTCGACACGGGCTCAATCATCGATAAGCAGGAACTATCGGGAAACCCTCAGAACATGGAGTACGCGGAGCTCCATGAGACGACTGCCAATCTTGGTGCGTGAACAAGCGTCATTCATTCCGAAATACTCCTCAATAGCCGACCGATCTCGTACAGCATATCGTTGCTCAAATCTCGTCACATCTCTCGGGCGCGACATCGTTTTGCGGATCGGATTCACGTAATTCGGGTTCTCCGTTTCCCAGGTGCAAAAATGCTATTGAGATTTTTGGATGATGTCGAAGGCAATCTGAGAGCAGCGACGCCTCAAGGGGAAGAGGGTGCCACACGGGCTCCGAAGGTCACTCCGTCCATGGCGGTGATCGACTGGAGACGGACCGTTCTCGAGGTGAGAACCGGAGTGTGCTCGAGAGGTCAATGACCGCTCGTTTACGGCGATCCCCTCGACCTGAAGTAGAGCGACTCACCAGAACCGGCGAGCAGGGCAGAAGATTCCGTGCAAAGCATACCCTCACGTCTCCATCGGTACCAGTCTCACGAACGTTGACATCTTCCAGGTGGATGCCCTCCGCCGAGCCATCACACCGTTCGAGCCCCTGAGGACTTACTTCCGAGGAGATCTGATAAAAGTGTTCCTGGTCCCATTGAGAGAGAGTCCGCCGGACATCGATCCCAAATATATCCGAGAACCTTTGCGTCCTGGCTGCGTGGTTTATTGCAGAAAAACACGACTTATAGCCGTGAGGTGCGCCGACGGTTGGATCTGGGTTCAAGCCGTGGTCTTTCAAGGTCGACGTAGAATTACTGCAAACGGATTTGCTGCTGGGTATCTATCTAAGAGTCCATGTAAATTTTTCTCGAACGAAGTTTGAGAATTAGCGAGAAAAGGACTCATCCGGAATAAAGTCATGACTTGTTTATACGCTGTTCATCCGGCGGAGCGTCGAAAGAGTGCCCGGTACCGTGTGACGGACCGTCAGTTGGTGTGCTCTGAAACGACTTTTCCGCTCGAGATTTACGAGAAATCGGCAGAGGGAGGACATTCCCATAGGAGGCAGCGGAGTCTCCACGGGGAAAGGGTAGAAATCATGCTGCTCCTGGATACTTTTATCATCAGCCAATTTTTGTCCGGAAATTCGCCTAGCTATCCTGGGAAGGGACGCGCCTGCCTACGACTCGATGACCATCCATATATATCATACGTAGTACCTCCCCAGAGCGAGAAGCTCACTCGAAGATCCTTTAATGTCCAGGATATGAAATGAGTGTGAGATTCAAGGCGAAGCTCGAGATGAGATACTCAGCCCGAGGTTCTCACGGGAAAAGATTGTGCCTCCCCACGGGCGGCGGCATGCTGGGAAATCACGCGCTTATCCTACTCAAAGTCAAGTATTTCGTATCACCCTGCGATGCTTTCGCCTCGTTTCGAATGTTGATCAGAAGTCCCGATCTTGGTACGCGACAATCTCCGTAAGAGTCTGACTGCTCCGCGTACTCCTGCAGCGGGCGGATCCAAACGAAGCTGGGCTCCACTGGCCGGAGGAATCGGATGAGCTGCGATCGCATTCCACTACGGGGCTCAATCCTCTCGTTCACCATCGCTCCGAGCAGACGCTGAATGAGCCACAGAAACTCAACAATTTCAAATGCGGGCGAGCCGAACGGATGGGTGCGTCTTTCCTTAGTCAAAGTAGATCGTCAATGATCGGCGAACGATCGAAATGGGAAGGTATGGGCTCGACTCGTTTTCGACTGTGTGCGTCAACCTCCCCAGGATATTCGCAAACTGCCGAGAAACTCGAGCGAGCGAAGGCCTTTTGCAGGCCCAGGGGCGCGAAGCTAGCTCCTCGATTTCGTGCCGCTGAGAGCGATCATCTTCAATATTGGTCCACGGTGGTTCGTTTCAAAAGCTTCCTACTCCCGGACTCGGAAGATCCCGAGAGAACATGCATACAGGAGATGGAGAGGAATGCAACTCTAGAGTAGAGGATATATTCGCTGCCGGGATCAGGACTCTGTGAGGCTCTCCCGAGTTGTCCGTTTGGAAATCGCTGGAGATCTGATGGACACTAGAGGACAAAGGATGTCTGGGCGAGAGGTAATTCAAGGAGGAGACCCTCTTAGAATCCGGATACACAGACTTTCTTGTTTTCCCCGACCTTCAATCTGGTGAGGGTCTCTAAGCTCCGCGACCTGCCCTGGGACGGCGGGAGATTGACCATTTTCCCCTGTTTGGATCGGGAATTGGATACTCCCCCCAAAGAAATCTGAAGAGGTGCAGAAGCGTCGGCGGCGTGCGAGCCTCACTCGACAGTGTGGATAGAGCGTCGAAAAGCAAGGATGCGAGGAATGCTCGACCTCTCCAGCAACAATATACATGAGACGCATAAGCCCATCGCCTCAGATTATAATAGTACACTATCACTGCAGGACGGTCGGGTGACTCGCGCTCGAACGCTACGATGGGGAATCTCCTCCGAGACAACTTTTGGCGAGCGGGGCCACGCCTCATCTAAGCGTGGGTCAAAGTCTTCGAGTCCATTACAGAGCTTCCGAGACCCACGTGTTATCCTAAGACGAAGAGGCTCAACGGAATCAGATCAAGTGGTCAGTGATCTGGTTTTCGTGGTGAACGTCTCGGCTCAACGGCAAATAAATAAACCACACCAGTCAAGGCCGATCAAGAGCGCTCTTTAAGGCTGTCTACAGGATCGCGCCCTACAGAAGTGTTTTTTCTCTGCAGCAGATTTACGGCTGTCTCCCCAGAGCCGGCTCGAATACTCTATACGTCCGTTTCTGAGAGGCAGTCTTCCTGGAATGGATCCTCGGGCTGATGAAGCGGGAGTTCCGTTCCGGAAGGAGCCGTGACGTTCAGCTGCTCGATGACGTTAGCATCAGCCAAGTCACTTCAAGGGGGGAGTCTCTACTTCGTCTTCCGAGTTCCTCTCCGATGAGGATTCTCCGATCCGTAGAAATCGTATTATACGCCTTTCGGTCGACCGTCAACATCGTCAGGCTGACCAAATCAGTAGGTTGATGAACTGCTCCTCGGGCTTAGCTCCATGAACTTTTGCCTAGACGCGCGTAGGCGGCCTCTTCCTCAGAAATTTCCCTTCCATGGGAGGTATAAAAATGGATAGCTTCCTCTTCTGCTCGAGGCTCTTTAAATTTCATCAATCCCGCGGTTCCAAGATTCAAGCTGTCCATGGAGATGCGGACTTATGAGGGGCTCGGTCGGTAAAGATCGAATCTTCGATGACTGGTTGTCGTGTGTCCATCGAGCACCAACTATGGAGTATGAGTCGGAGTTGCATCAGATTCGATGCCCTTCCCACAAGTGGTTGTCACATTTTCTCCACGTCTTTCCCTTTCCGTTGTTTGCACGAACCTCAGACGAGCGCCATAAGAAGAATCGGGCCGGGCGAGAGACGCCCACCAGGCTGTCGCCGTCGCTGTAACAGCTCGCCGCTTCTCGGACCGCATGTAATTCCGTAACCCCAGTGGAGCTCCTGAGCTGTGACCGCGGAGCCGCCGCCGCCGAGAGAATATAACTCGCTGGCCGAGCGGCGGGAGAAAATACCCGAGCCGCGGTCCTAAAGGGATCCCCGAGCGAGTTTCGATCTGCGCCTCCCTTCCTTTCTCCGAGGGCCCTTTCCGCATCTCTCTCCGCCACTTTTGTCATGCTTCACAAGCCAGCCGAGCGCCGTGCCGACAGTGGTCAGTGCGCGTGCTTGCGAGGTCGCGCCGCGTGCGTATCGCTGTTTTAATCTTTAGTTGATCGCGAGCGGACGGAAACCGACCGGCACGATGACAGCGGAAAAAGAGAGAACGGTCACTTACAGTGAGGTGCCAACGAAAGAAGCCAAGGAGCAGGACGATGGAGTTATTCGTCTGAAGCCAAAAATGACTCTCCTGAACGGCATCACGGTCATCGTGGGATCGATCATCGGGTCCGGAATTTTCGTGAGTCCTCGAGGCGTTCTCGCGGAGACGGGCTCCGTGATGGCCTCGTTGGTTGTCTGGGTCGCCTGTGGATTGTTCTCAATGATCGGCGCCTACTGCTATGCCGAGCTCGGCTGTATGATCACTAAGACCGGTGCTGACTACGCGTATATCATGGAAGCGTTCGGACCGTTTGTTGCCTTCCTGCGACTATGGGTCGAATGTGTCATCGTGCGTCCATGCTCTCAGGCCATCGTCGCCCTGACATTTTCATTCTACGTGCTGAGGCCAATCTTCCCCGATTGCGAGCCCCCAGACCCCGCCGTGAAAGCCCTCGCCGTCGTTTGCATCCGTAAGTATGAATACACGTTTTCGAACTTTTGAGTGGCATCACACTTTCAGTAGACCACGGCGCTAGCGACTGGAAACAGACACTCGATCGAATCTGACATGCTGCGCGAATGTTTCGGGGTTGGCGGGGACTCCTCTCAATCGACGAGAGCCGTGCATGCACCGAACGACAAACGGCCCGCTATACTTGAAGACCACTCTATATTAAACCATGCTCAGTACTTGAAGTTATCTTATCTGTCAAGAAAGCCACCTGGAAGGAGAGAGAGAGAGCCGAAGAAGAAGCTAAAAGCCTCGTTAATATAAGTTGCCGTGGCATCTCTCTCCGTCGACGGGACGGCCAGATCGATCCCTTCTGCCTCGAGTGCTCGCTCTGCATCATCTATCGGTCGCTCTCATCTCGTTCTCGGTGATTGATCTTCGACAAAAGTTGGGCCATGCTGGGTTTTCATGATTTTTCCGATTCATTTCATTCGAGTTCCCGCATCGTTGAGCATGAGGAGCTTGTTAAGAGTAACCTGCGCAGACTCTCCGTAATTCGGTGACAGCACCTTTCCCGCAATCGGAAACGATCCGCGAAAACAGGCGAGCTTGTTGCGTAGGAGGCCCTTGCTTTTCGAGCTCGGAGACAGGTTATGATGGAGAACTGTTGTCGACTGGGTTCCCATTGTTACGCTGAGTTCTGAGGCTGGTTAAACTCGACATCTGGTCCGTGAGGTCTGAAAGCTGGCATTTGAAAACGCCTATCAACCAACTCTGACCGCAAGGAGATTTGTAGAGCGCGATGGAAAGACGGTCTCTAAATCGATGTCGATCCTCCGGGTTTCCGGCCCCCATCCATGCGTCGTGATCCCGACGAAAATCTGTTGGCCCTGGAGATTCGCTCCCGAACTCTTCCGGAGGTCTGCGACGCAGAAAGCTTCCCGGAGAGCATCATCCACACGACGCTAAGCAGCAGGTTGGCCTTGGCCACGTGGTGGGCGCACCCCAGTGTGGACATCAGCTATTTCATCAGCTAGAACCCTCTCCCTTCCTCTTTGGTCTCTCTTTCCCGTGGCTCGAACTATAGTCGACTCGGCGTCGTTGGGTTGCGAACTCTACCTGCCGGAAGCCAGACTAGCGATTTCGGGCTTTCCTCTCCCGAGACAGACGGTCGGCGTTACGATCCGCTGGGGTTTACTCAACCGTACCTCAGCCCAATCAGATTGGGACCAGGTCTGGTAGGGACCGAGAAGCTTCGGATTGAGCAGCCCGATTTGGAGAAAGCGCGTACAAATTGGAAAAAGTTACGGAGACGCTAGCCGGCGATGGACCATGCTGCCCACGCGACCATGGCATTTCAACGAATCTCGAACATGGCGCAGACTTTGCCCGAGCTCAGTTATTGGATGTCGAAAGCTCCCAAAAATTCGTGACGATGATTGAGGATTAGTTTCGATTTAGTTTGACGGTCTCCCCACGGTAAACCAACCTTATCCTTCCTCGTTCGGAGCTTCAATTGAAAGAGGTCTATCATGCTCATTTCGCGTCTCCGAAAATGGGGCGGATCTCTAGAGGGTTGAGCAAAGCATGCTCCGGAGGTCCATCGAGTTCGCTGAAATCCCAATCATCAAGGGTGATAACGCTCCCACCCGAGTTCGGATCTGCTTGAAGGTCCACTCGTGTGCGTTCCGAACATTGGAACCCTCCGGAAAGGAAACAGGAAGCTTGTGCAGCTTTATCAGAGATGTCTATCATAGAATGCTCTCCCTGGCCCACTTTCAAGCGCACCACGACCGATCAGCCCTACTCCTCAGATTCAGGGGAGTCCGCAATTATTTTTATTCTTTCATGCTCAACGGTTCTCTGAAGCATGCCGGGCCGAGAGCGGAAGCCCGGGTAATAGTGAGCTACACTCGACGGGCATAATACTCTGCAGCACGTGCCCCGTATTCGCGCCATCGACTCATTACGTTTCGGATGATGTTTTAAGGCGGGGCGGCACACGGTCTCCGGAGCAAGACAATCGGATTCCTGTATGTCGCGCGTTTCACTTCCATCGAAAAATCAATGGGTCGCGCTTATATTTCCAAGATACGAGAATTTCCGCTCTTTTGGACGCTCATCCTCGTGCTCTCAGCTCGGGTTCGTTCCAAGATCAGGCGGCGAGTTTCTGCGGCATGTTTCCGAATGACTGCAGCATCGGATCCGGTTTCTCGAATCGCTAATCAAGGTCTCCGGAAAACGGCAGTACGTCGAGCTGAGCGAGCTTTTTTAGGCTGTCAGTCCCGTTTACGGTATGTATCATCCATCGCGGATTATCGAAGTTCTCGTCGTATCTTTCGACCGATGCTGAATTTCGATAAGCTGTGGTGCGAAATTTCCGAATGAGCCCTATGATTCTTCGAAACAACTTCTCTTGCGAGCAGGTTGAGTGGCCCCGAAATCACGTGAGTGAGCCCGGAGTCGAACGGTCGACCTTTCCTCGGTCCTCAACCGTACATGGTGTCGTCGCAGCAAATGGCGATCCGGAGAACGAGAGCTCTCAGAGTTGCAGCCGTCAGATTAACGGCATCTTAGACGTAATTCGAGCGTTCGTCCCACACGACATCCGAAGATAGGCGTCCGCCGGAACGTGAAACCGTCGCGATATGTTGTGTTTTTTGTTTAGATTCTTTGATGGTGCCGATCTGCGGTGCCGGTCGTCAGCTCGCGCCGAGCGGGTTGTTCTCCGAAAGAATCGTTCTATTTTGCACTCCGTATCACTTCCGGGGATCCCCACCATTAGGGGACACCTGCCAGCTCTGCTCATCAGATGCAAAGCGCGGCGTCTGACAGAATTGTCCCGTCTGTCGCGAGTTCGACCGCTCTCCCGACGAGCCCTTGAGTCATTTGTCCGTTTGAGGCTTCTCGGGATGCAACGCGCAGTTTTTCCGTATTCTATGGAATAATTCTTAGAGGGAGTTCGATGACTGGGGATAAGTCACGGCCGATTTCTGGCGGGTCCACCGATTGGAATTCGAAACTCCTAAATCACGATGAATGAATAAGTTGATCGAGGGGAGGAGGCATAAAGAGAAAAAATACCGAAATGAAGAGCAAAACCCTCAGCTCTCCAAAATTATTGAAACATATCCGTTCCAAGGAGCGACGAATCAAGGAAGCGAGAATACGCCGATAATTACGGACATCTGACACACAAGCGCGTGATTACTCCAAGTTTGGAGCCTAAGAACCGGTGACAATGTTTTGTGGTGCGATTCAAAGGGTGGAGTGCGTTGTGCCGACTGGCGGTGCCGGCGCCAGACTAGAGGTCGAGCTCACGGATCAGCTCTCCGTCCTACTGGCACCGGGAGACTCTTTTCAACTCTCGCCCGCTGAATAATAACAGTAACTCCTGCCTAAATATAATATAATGAAAGCGGAGAAGTTGCGTGGGTACTTAATTCGAGAATGTGGCGACGCTCGATCTGTGTAGACGATAGACCGGAGGTGGGCTATTCAGTCAACTGCCATGGCTATCCCGACAATAGGAGTGGAATCATGAGAGGATAATGAGGGTCCCCCTGCTCCGGGGCATCCCAGATGAGGCACTCTATCGTAAGGCTCGAATCTCTCCCAAAAATCTTAACGGAAGCAGCACAAATGGTGTATGCGTTCTGCTCGTCCCTTCTGAGCCTTTCAAAAATCGAATCTAGCTCGTTCGACGAATTTTCCCCATCGCGTCACTTGCTCGCATCGTATTCTGCCTGAAAGAAATCTGACAGGCACCCGCAACAGGAGTAGCATTCAGTTGTAGTGATGCGCGAGGAGGTCTACGTCGTGCGACGGGCGATGATCACGAAAATAATCTCGATGGGCAGCTAGTCCCTGACACATTGAAGCGTGGATGTGATCCGAGAAAAAAATCATTCCTTGGCGAGCATTGATTCACTGGACCAGGTCTCAACCAGCATACTGTCATTTCGTCTGTTGGGCCGGCGGAAAGGCAGTCAAACAGACAGTTTCTCTTCTACCGGTCAACCGACCGTGAACAGCAGTGATTTTCTCACACATACACACACACAAGAGAATTACGACAATAATTATCCAGCATTGTGCTCTTAGGGTTGTTTTCGAGCGCACGTGGGCTCCGAATGGTCCGGGCCTTCCCTCTCGTTATCCGCGCATTGCGTTCCTCAAGCGAATTGCTCGCTCTATATGGGAAGCGGCAGATGAAGACCGCATCGAGCGATGTCCTAAGGTTTGTCACGTGCTCGGGCGACACGCTGTCATCGCACATAATTTGCACGCCCATCAACAGCTCGTCAGCGGTTCCTTGGACCCAGTCATTGCGATCTGGGATATCATACGCGATCCATCACAAGAAAAAATTATGAGTGTTTGAGTGTTTCTTAATTGTCCCACTAATGATGATCGTGACTCGAACGGAGTATCACAGGACCAACGGACGGACAAGTCAACTGACCGACAGACCGAATGACTGACTGATTGCTTGCCCTTTGACGTCTCGGAATGTCCAAATTGTTACCTTTTGTAAAGCTCGATGGCTGCCGACCGATAAGAGTTGCCCGTCGAACGCGCACTCAGATGATGTATCTAAGAAGACACCCAGGGCTGAAATGAGCGGTGTCACCTCGATGTATTGGTCTCTGCTTCCGTAGACGGAGAGACTCGGGCGACAATCATTCGATGTAATCCACTAAGTCGTGGCTCCCCTGGCTCAGTCAGATGCGCATATCTCGCATGCCCGTATCTTCATGCAGATCGCTCAAAACTTGATGCCCCCCGATCCCTCGAAAAAAATAATGTGGTCAGGAGTCAGATCGTCGCGCTAGAGATGCCCGGAGCTCTCACTAACTCTCCCTGTTCAGTGCTCCCTCTAGATTATTCTGGCTCCAGAGCAATCTTGTTTTCCGAATATGTCTGGGAGTACGCATGGTACATGTCACCACGCGGTACAGGACTCGGACGCTCCTCACCACTGTATATTTACCGCCGTGGAAGCGCTGGCCAATTATTTTGCTTATTCAGCGACTACTGCATCCACGCGTGGGTGAGCAATAGGCTTCGCCGACGACCGAATCGGAATGGAAGCCGCTGTAAAAAGAGCGTCGCGTCGATTGATTGCGGCGCGAGTTGAGAACACGAATCAGCCTTTTCTTCAAGTCGTCGCTCTACACTTGTCAATGGAACCTTGTTGGAATCATGCTATGTGTCTGTAAAGTAGTACCGCCTGCTCGATTCGAGTGTTTGTCGACAGAGGGGAGAACGGAATCCACCGTAACGAGTTGCTCGAGTTGTCCCGCGTTTCTTTGACGACGATAACTGTTCATTGAGTTCCTCCCTCAAAGAGGGAGTTCAATGAGCTGCTCGCTTAGAATAGAATAATTTTCCTGGATTCGGCGACGATTCGTGTCCATACACGTTGACAGAAACCGCTTCCCGGAGAAAAGTCGAGAGTCGAACACGTTCCTCGTCTTTTTCATGACGAGAAAGACTTGCTGTTCGTCGGTGGACTGACGGACTAAGCGGTCTTGCCGGAGACCGGATAACTCTCGGAGAAGGCGAGCGAACTATTGGAAGCATTCGATCCTCACCCTGTGTGATCCCGTTCGGCTGTGTTCTCCATCTCCTCCTGGACGTAGCCCATGGCAGCGTGACCTTCGCTCTGGCGCAGGATGTTCGCATTAGAGCCAATGAGCATCACGAGTCGACGGCATACACAGACGAAACCGATCGAATTCTCGAAGCAGGCGTCCGTGGAGTCCAGAACTATCAATAGTTCCCTTATCCTGCGTTGTCCGTAACCAGCGGTGACTAGACGCTCCTTGGCCCGAGATAATGTGACCTCAGAAGGGCTCAGAACGGCACGGTTGTTTGGCGAGTGTGAAGGCTGTCATGAGAATGGAAAAGAAGGCGCTCTCGGTCCATTGAAGGGTTACAGAAACCGAAATGAGCATTCTGATTACTCGAATGTCGCATGGGCTGCCAAGCTGGACAGTTTGCAGATCCTCGGGCTAGCTTATCACTTGCCAGGCCGCTCCTCAAAGTCTTCTAAGACAATGAGACATGAGATTTTCTTGAACGATTTCGAAGTCTTCAAAACAGTCTGAGGAAATGCGTCGCGGGGCCTTGCGGCCGTCGTCGACTCATCGTCGGCGGTCGCTGTCGATGGGTCAAAGCGTTGATCTCTCTTTTGCATTTTGCTCTTTCGAGAGTTCAGTCTGGGAAGGAGTTGCTTGAGCCGCGTGTCTGGTTTCTTCTTCGAAGATATCGTCCCGTAAGATATGACGTCTACGAAAGTGAAGCGTCATGGATCGATTTTCGCGGCGACGTCCAGTCGGCGACAACTTCGATGGCGTGCCCCTCGAGCTGACGAACAGCCCAGTCTCCGCGCATGGTGAATCCCAAAATATGCCATCGGGAGAACGAATTGGGGAGATTCGCTGACTGACTGAGTCAGGCAAGGGTAATCAGATGCCAATATCAGAAACGTGAAACTCTGCTCGACTGATATAGAATATCTGCTTTGATCTTGTCTCATCATGGATATCTCGATGAGCTTTGGCTAGAAGCCAGGCTGACGCATGAAATGATCTCTGTAGGGAAAGAAACGGTCAGAAATCATGCAGCAGCTGGGCAGGGTCCCTCGAATTGTCTCGAGCGCCCGATGCGGGGAATTGGGGTCATCTTTCCACCGCGTTCCTCGGCTGTGGAGGGAATCCGGACTTCTAATCCCCCACCTGAAGAACACCAAGGGAGAGCTATTCGTCTCCTCTCGAATATCCTTCTTGCCTTGGTAAATGGCGCTCCGTCGTGTACTGAGGGTAGGAGTCAGAGGAACGTCGATGACGGCGAGCGAAAGAATGGGAGACGTCAATGATTCGATCGGCGGATGCTCACCATAGGCGTGAGTTCCTTCATTTGTTCGAGACAGATCTCTCTTCCTGTGACGCCTGAAAATCTCTGTCACAGCAATAAACGAATCATCGGATTGATCGAGCGGAGCTTGGTCGCGCCCTCCTTTCTTGGATCTCGGATCACCCAATCCCTGATCGATCCGGGTCTCCTCTTGATCACAGTCAGAGATGGATTCCGACATTTCTTCCGAGGCGAAAATCCCAGCTCGAAGTTCGAGCGTCACGTGGAACCACGACTCATTCTTTCGCCGTTCAGCCGAGGTTCCGATTCCGTTCCCTAAGGCTGAGTCTGACAGATCGAACCACGGAAGAGTGCCGATCAACTTATCCCTAATTCCTGACAAGATAATGATCCGGCCGTGGGTCTCAGGTTCCCTGATAGACCCTGCAAAGCTTGATGGAATCTGAAAGGATCGAGGAACTTTCTTTCGCTGAAGTGGAGCGGCAGCCGCGGTGGTCTCTATGGAAGACGGTTCTTCGCTTTCCATGGGGAGCGAAAGGATGGCCCGAGCAGGATGAAGTTCCCTGCCCGCCCCTTGCCACAGAAGGTGACCTTTGCCTCGACAAGGTCTTCCCGAAGGCTCCTTTTGCGTGATATCGGGAGCGGGCGGAGAAACTTCAACGTTCTGCATTTGCCTGGTCGATTGGAGAGGTACGCAAGCCTTTGGAGCGAAGCACGTTGCGAGAATCAAAAGAACCACACCATCTCAGGAATAATAAGCGAATTTGATGGCCTCATTCGGAGACGATTGGAGGGAGAAATCTCTTCCACGGATTGATATGTATGACGGACTGATACTGAGGTTATAGCCAATCCTGAACTCGAGCTCTGTGTGTATCCTGATCTGATTATCGAGTGAAAGATCAAATTCAACAAAGACAGAAAATTATGAAAACTGATCTCCTAATCATATGTTTCAGTTCTTCTGACATTCGTCAACTGCTGGGACGTCAAATGGTCGACCAGAGTTCAAGACATTTTCACGTACGGCAAACTGCTCGCGCTGGCCATCATCATTGGCACAGGATTCTACCAGCTTTCTCAGGGTGAGTACCACAATAATCAGAAGCTCCGGTGAGCAGCTTGGGGCGTTGGTTTATATCTTTGTGGGTAGTGGTCATTCTCCAATCGGCAAAAAGGTGGTCTATCCGCAAGTTCCCGATCGAATGCCCTTGAGTCGGAGAACTTAATCGAATTTCTGCTCCTGTTCCTGGCGATTCGACTGCTTCACAGCGGCGCTTCCACTCAGGCAGTCTGAGATTCGCTGGAATCAATCGCGGGGCACCTTTGTGAACGCGCCGACGCTTTATTCGGAAGTCAAAAGCTTGCCCCCAATTGCCTCCGACGCCCAGATTGGATTCGTGATCGAGCACAGAGTGTCTCTTCGGAAGTCTCCATCAAAGAAGATCTTCACTGAGTAAATGAATTTCTCCCAAAATTACAGGCCAGACACAATATTTCACTTGGGAGAATACTCAGACGGATGTCGTGAAAATAGCGATATCATTTTACTCAGGTCTCTTCGCGTATAACGGATGGTGAGTCCCGATCTTCGCTCATGAGGTAGATATAAGCTTATGGTTATTCTGTATAGTTTGCGCCGAGCTCATCGAGATCGATGGGATCCGCCTGCGGAACAAAGTTCACGCAGAACTCGCGCTTCGAGCGTCATGACAAGCAGGGCGCCGAACATTGTTTGAAAAGGTGTTCTAAGGCACAGATGAAAAAACATGAAGGCTTAACGATCTCGCAGTCATCAGGATTAAGCCGAAGTTTCTCATTTGTCGAGGTGAATGACCTGATCTCTAATTGAGTACTACGTCGCCGTCGTTGCCCTCCGATACGGAACGGATAGAGTTGCCGAACGAGGAAGTTCCTGCATCATACTTGACGGAGGGAGTCGAGAAAAGCCAACATAGCTTGTTGGCTATCTCATCGCTAACGATATGAGAACAGCTGCGCGAACTCGTGGAGCGAATCGAGCGAGCTGGACGCCGACCGTAATTACGTTGACGATGACACAGTCCGCTCCGCGGCTCCCACGCGGGAGAACCTAAAAATATGAGCAGATCCGAACCGCCTGAGTTCCTGAAGAGCAAGAATATGCTCGGAATCGACCTTGGCGCGATCCATATGAGCGAGATCGATCGAGCGAAATTCGCCTCTGTAGTCGGTGCTCGAATTTTGTCGTAAGAGCAGTATCGATCGGCCAAGTCACCGGAGCGTAGCGTAACTTGTTCGCAGCGAAATGTAAATCAGCGGGTTTCTCTTATCAACTTCGAAGGAACTATCTGAATTTCGTCATCGAGGAGCTGAAGGACCCGCACCGGAACCTCCCGAAAGCCATCTTCATCTCATGCATCCTTGTGATGGTTGTATACACCCTGACCATAGTGGCCTTCCACACAACTCTGAGCATCGATGAAGTTATGCGCGCGGAAGCCGTGGCGGCAACATTCGCCGAGAAGCTCTACGGCAACATGGCTTGGATCGTACCCGTGTTCGTCGCCATGTCTACGTTCGGTACGTGAAGGAAGATCTTGCCCCCGAGCCGATGACCCCAGGATTGAATCGTGTGATTTCGAGTAGATTTCTGGATTGGACCTATTCCTGTCGCTCAACGAATTCGACCGAGATCCTAATTCCAGGTGGAGTCAACGGAATCCTCTTCACTTCATCCCGACTCTTCTTCGCCGGAGCTGAACACAACCAGATGCCTCGAGTGCTCTGTATGATCCAAACAAGCCACCTGACGCCGGCGCCTGCAGTCATCGCCATGGTAAGCTCTATCGATCTCGACTCACATCAGTCAGACATTCACAGATTTCTCTGGATTCCATTGGTCCTGAGGACGGCATCTCGAAATAGTCTAGACAGAACTCGGATGGGAGACTCTATCCCACAGTCGTATCGACTCTTCCGACAAAGCTTTTATTACGGTCGTGCTATTAGACCATGATTGTTGTTCCGCGGTAGCATGTCCAGATTTTTACTGACCACCGACCTCCATACCGATCGCTATCTCGACTCAAAGGAGAATCTTATCGATATTCATCGCGAACCATTGAAGAATTCGAAAGATCACCTGTTGATCCACAGTGCCTTCTGTCCTTGATGTACCTGGTCTCTAGCGACATATCTCTTCTCATCGATTATGTTGGCTTCGCAACTTGGCTGGCGATCGGACTCGGTGTCGCCACTCTGCCGTACTTCCGCTGGAAGCATCCCGAATGGGAGAGGCCCATCAAGGTGAGCTTCTTTACCAAGTGGAGCCGGCGATATAGCGTATGGATTGCTATGGTCAGCTTACTTGGAAATGTCATCACGGAGGCCATATGTAGAAATCCTCGATAATAATAGAAATACGAGTGTTTTCGCTTCAGGTTCACATGATTTGGCCGACCATCTACTTGGCAGCAACTGTCTTCATCACTGTAATACCCATGTACGGGAAGCCTTTCGAGACACTTCTGGGATTACTGATCATTGCTACAGGCGCGCCTGTATACTTCGTATTCTGTGCCTGGAAGAACAAGCCGAGATGCATCAAGGAATTCTCTCGTGAGTGCCGTAGACATGGTGGAAAAATCGTCATATATCTGTCATTGAGCCGAGGACTTCCGATTCTGTATCGAGGCAGGTTCTTGACCGGAGTCTTTCCTCTTCTTTTTCCAGATAGCGCCACCTGTTTCCTTCAAAAGTTACTTGTGGTCGTTGAAACCGAAAAGGCGCGAGACGTTTAAAGAGGCCGCGAAACTAACTGCCAACGTGAATCCATTATTCATTCCTCGTCGATTCGACTCATTCTCAAAGTGTACACCAAGATCGGAATGTTTTGCTCATCGCGTTGAGGCCTTGATCCGTGGCTCGCCCCCGTGTTAGATACCTGAACTGTTGATCTAATATTGAGACCACTGATGGCTTACGCGGCTTTCAAATTATGTTGTGGGGAGAGCCAAGCGGAAGGAAGGGACGATTACTGGCGCGAACGAGGTTTTAAATGTTTATGGTTGATTTTGATGATTGATATCGGTGTGAAATCGTGGTGCGATGTGTTGAGTGTCCTCATGTTTAAGCAGTATTCCTACGCTACTAATATAAGCTGGAAATCCCTCGGAAGCGAACAAAATCCAAGGCTCGCCAACCGGTGAGCGGCCGATCTGAAGGATGGACAAAACTCGGATATATTTTTTTTACGAATGTCATGCTGTGTTACCATGTCAATCGGATCAAGACGCAGATTATTTTCGCTCTAATGTAACTCCCCGAGCGACCTCCAGAAGTGAAGAACTACTGTCGCCTACAAACTGAGAGACTACAGTGGCTTGGCGAAATGGCGGGCTGACACACATGGTACGACCAAGTTTTCTCGATGGAGGTCCGTGGCTTTTGATGTGCTCCCCAGGTTGAACTCACCGATAGATTTCTGAAATTGTATGCTCTGACTTCATCCGTTCCGCCCCTGATGAACATATCTGTTGCAGAAATTCCGGTGCCAAAAGTTGAAGGGGATCACTGAGTCTTAAAGTCTCGGATGAGTGTACCTACGAGGGAACTCGCCTCAGTCTTCATCAGTCTTATTCTCCGGCGCAGGTCTGAGAGTCGGGAATCGGATTCCTACGGGAATTCGGGGAAGTTTGGTACGCGTTCGAATCCTGGCGATACGGATATGACAAATTCTAACATGTTCAGCAGGACGTATGTAGTCAGCGATTCTGCTGGGACTAAATTTCCAAGAGTAGATCTCTTCGTCTATCCGACCGGGATATAGATTTTGAAGGAGCCGCAATCGGTCAGGAGCTATGCTGGCGCTTGTTTCCAAGCTCAGGAGCTGGCAGAATGTCCGCGTCAAATAAATTAATATAAGCCCTCAATTCTCGCTGCTTATTCCGCGAGGCTCCGGCTCATGAAAAATGAATCGCAGTCTTGTGCCTTGGCAGGATGTCCGAGAGTTCAAGGCGACAAGGGTAGATAGTGAGATATTTTATCGGAAGACAAGGCCATAGAATAGACTAGCCTAAGCCTGGGCAACGATCCATGGGCAACGTTTGGTTCAGGGTGTGGACGCTTCTTCCACCCAACGCGACCATCGATTCCGAAATTCTGCGAATTCGATCGCGTAGAGGTCTTCTGTGGGATTCTCAGCACCGGCAGAGCGTATATTCTATCGCTCAGGCTCAGCTCGGTTGAGGATGTAGGGCGGCTCCGTGATTCGTAGGAATAGGCTTGTCCACAAGGTTCCGAGTATCTGTGATTGGAAACGAACGACCATGAACAATACTTCGATTTCAGGCTCTGCTATCCCGTCATCTTTCCCGCGGGTGAGGGAAGGGCAATGGATCTTAATATTCCTTCGTCGATATGTCGGCTGGGTCTCTTTGCGAGAAGATCTCCGACGAGGTTCTTGCAGCCAGTGCTCACGGAAACGACATCGAACTTTGCGGCGTCTCTGCATATTCTGCGACGAAGGAGTTGGTAATCGTTCACCGCGATGGCTGTTTTGTCGAGAAGCAGTTCTTAGACCGGAATTCCTAATGCCCATATATCAATCGATTCGCTGTAAGGTCGTAGCAAAAGTATCTCCGGCTTCAAATATTCAGGTTTGCCGCCTGAATACCCAGGTTTGAGACTGTAGATCTTCCCATCACATCTTCTGGTCAGACCGAGATCAGCAACCTTCCCAATCGATGGGGATATTCTCTGGCGACGGTCTCGGTACAAATTGTCAACTGCGTGGAAGAATGCCAGCGCCAAGGATATGTTTGACGCATACGAAGGAACGGCGTCCTCGATTAGTTTCTCTCTGCTCTCCAGGTGATGGGAGAAGTCTCCGCCACTGAGAATTCCGAGCGCGAGATTTGGATTGGCATTATACTCGTAGTGGAAAAGAAGCTAAACGATGGAGTCGAAATTGATGCATACCGGAATGTGTTTCTCGAAGATTACGCTTGTGGCGCCGTGTCGCTGGATGACGTTCCGCTTACTTTGAACCTTGAGCGCGACGACATTCCCGGTCGGTTTGTATTTGGCGTGGGATACTCCGCCTGTCGAGCCTCCTCTGGCATCGATGTCAGACTATAGATAAGGATGGTGATGATTCCACATGGTATGACGCGGGGGACCTTTATGGTACACCGGACCACTCGACGAGGACGAGTTTTCGGCGACTTCCTCGGCGAGAAGGGGAGAAACTTCCACCTTCCATGTCAACCGTTTGAAGGAAGGAGTCCGACGCTTCTTCTTCTCGATCGAGCTTTCACGGGCTACGATCGCCATCTCATCAGTACAATTTTTTTTCCTCCCACGGGAAGAGCTTTCTGGAAGTTCTATTTCTACGTAGAGCTTGACGTGATTTCCGTCAGACGGAGTCCGATCGAGGCACATATTGGAAGCATGGAGAAATATTCCTCGTCGACGTCACCTAGAGTAATCATCGAGGAAAATCTTGGGAAGAGCGATGAAAATTCGTTCAATGAAGGCTAGAAAGACCACGGAGGACCATTAGGCGAATTTCCCTCATCTGACGTAGGCTCGAATCGAGGGGATCACATCATTCACACTGATCTAACAAGCTTGCATGCCAAGCCTTTGGAAAACGCAGATATAATACGCTTAATCCAGAAGGAGAGGCCAGGAAATGAAGTTGAAGAAAGCTTCGGAGTCGGATCAATGTCTGGCGGGTGATAGTGCTAGGTGACATCCCATGCAGAAAATATAATTCTTCCATAGACATACACTGTGCAACGAAAGTATGCGCGCACTTGGAATTTTCCCTCTTTTGAACGCCTTGATGGATTTCGATGAAACTTTTGTGGAAAAAATTCCTCTCCTCGGGTGCTGCAATTCTACGTCGACCGATCCACCCCAAATCTGTACCAGAAGTATGCGCGCACCCCGACCGACGGCGTTTCTCTTCCGCCCGAGGCTTCGGGGCGTCTGATTGGAGCATTTCGAATACCGCGGAGTCTCGTCGCATCTCGATGAGGACAGCATCACTCCATCGGAATATTCTGGATCGGTTGACGTTGAATTGAAGCCCCCGAGGAGAGGAATCTTTTCCACAAAGCTCCAGCGAAATCCATCCAGGCGTTCAAACGTTAGAGGGGAAATTCCAAGTGCGCGAATACTTTCGTCACACAGCGTATTAGACGAAGGAAGAGACGAAAACAGCTGGGTGTGGTCATAGAACAGAATTATTCAGTCTCAGTCCGGAGTGGATACCTCGCTATCGCGCACCACTCAAGCCTCGGCAGTTAACTTGTAAGTCCGATGGATCGTTTGATTCAATCAGGATGAGAGCACCATGAGCAGAGAACCTCACAGGGTTTCTGCAGGAGCAGAAGACGAAACCCAAGGGACACGTCCTACCACGGTTATCTCGTCCTGAGACTCGGATTCTCTGAGAGATATTCAAGACATATTGAACGGACTGGATCGCGTAGCGAAGCTCAACATCGGTGCTCAGCACTGGTTGATGTTTCCCGCGCGCCAAGAATCGATCTGTCACGGGAAGAAATCACTTCTCGCGAGGATCATTTCAACGGAGGAATGGATGCATGATGACGGAAGCCGAGGACTAGAGACGGCGAAGATGAGAGCAATCTGCATGATTGTGAAATCGACTAGCTCGCCCCCTCCGGGTGGGATTATTAGACGCCTCCGTCCCGCCTATTCCCCTTCCTGAGGTGTGAGCATTAAGAGCAGCAAGAGTTTCTACCACATGCGTTCCTGATCCTGCAGGCTAGGCATGGAATGAATCAAACAATTTTGATGGTATATAGCATTCCGGCGGCCGCCGAAGCCATCTCCTCCATCTTGTGCTGCAGGTACTCCCTGCGGAAATTCTGATCAAGAAGGAATAACGGGAATCTCGAGATCCGATCACGGATCCGTGTCCTGGATCTCCGATGTGACCGCGGGCAAGAGGAAGCAATTATTGAATCAATATGATGCCTTCATGAGTTTATTCAATATCAAATCGAGATAGATTCATTCACCCTTGTTCGCAAGGCGAAAAATGAGTCCAGGAGTTACGATCAGTGTACAGTACGAGGCGATGAAGAAACACACTAGTCTTCAACATACATTTTTCATACATGAGATATCAAAGTTTGAGCCCGACCCACGACATTTCAGAACCTTTGGCTAGACTTGGTCACGTTTGGTTTTGGGAAGACTTTGATTTACGGGAAGGCTATCCCCGTGAGAATGAGATTCTCGCACCTTGACCAAAAATGCGGGCTATGCTAAATAGAATCGCAGCGGCGCGGCGCCTCGGCGGCGAATTTCAATGGAGACCATCATCGCATCATCCCTATATGTTCCGCGGGACTCTCCTTGGCGGATATTGAGCGCCACCCTCCCCAAGAGAGAACATTGAGTATTCCTCGTTCGAAAAGATCTCCTCGAAGAGCCCTTCCGTGTCCTCCCTGAGCAATCGCTGACAGACCAGGGGCTTGCCGCGATTGTCAGGGTCGAGTTCGTCCCAGATCTCGGTGAGCGAGCAGCCATTGCGGAATTTCCCGAGACACCAGGCGCGAGGGATGATCACGAAACGAGCTTGAAGATTCTTGAGGTTTTGGTGGACTTCTGCCAACGGTTTCCGCGAGAGTAACGTGTAGACGGATTTCGTCTTATTGCGGAGTGCCGCGTTCTCGTAATGGGGATGATTGATGATCGGTCTGCCGGTGGATAGCAGGATGTTCGCCATGAGGGGCATCGGTCCTGCAAAACTGTCGTTCGGCTCGGCGAAGTCATTAATGAAGTACATGAGTTCCTCGAGGTCGCTGTTCATGTATTCTCCTTGATGTGAATGCTGATGGTAGATCGAATGCATCCCCGGTAGCAGCGTGACCGCGAACACACAGGCGGCGATCGCGCGTCGAGCATCCTTATTGGGTAAAAGTTTCGGACTAAGAGCTATTGCAGACATAATACACAGATGGGGCGTGAGGAGAACTTTCAAACGCATGAAAGTGAACGCCATGGCTCCGAACGCGGTGCATTGATAGAAGTTGTAGATTATGTCCGTCGGGAATTTCACTCCCTGATACAGAGCCCACGCGCAGACCCCGAGCATCATTAGAAGGCTGGCGCCTACGGTGAGGGATAAGTTCTTGACGTAGTCCAACTTCAGGAAGTCGAATTCCGGAGCGCAAGTATAGAGCATCGTATCGAAATTGCGATAATCTGAGATCTTGGATGCCAAAAGGTAGAATATGTGACCGTCATCGTTGGAATTTAACAAGTATGCAAGCAGCATTTTCACTCCGAGTGTCGTCAACAAGAGCACGCCCATTTGCAACAGCATTCTTATTCTCACCAGCCTCCACTTCGAGAATAATTGTGCCTCAGAGCAAATGATGGTCACTACGACGATCGCTGCATAGAGGGAGCATAGCAGCATGTCGTTGAAGCACAGGAAAATATACGCTATGGATATCGCACAGAGATGCATGCAGGCAATGTACTGCATTAGTGTCTTGCTTATCCTCTCGTGGAAGATATATACTGCGTATAGACACGCGATCTCAGCAGTGAAAACGAATTGGGAGAATTGCCAGCAGAGCAAACACATCGTTGAGATCAGTACGTAGATGAAAGGATGGATGGGTTTGGCTCTTTCTCGAATGGTATAGCTAGTGAGGGTTATCTGTGCAATCAGCAAAGGATACCCGAAACTCTCACGGAGAGGTGGGGTCCATTGGACTCGGGTTGCTTGATCGAAATTGAAAAAGTACAGGGCGGCGCAGAGCAAGGTGCCGAGGAAAGAATTGCTGAGCAGAGCAGCCAGACCGGCGATTGACACTCCGCTTATGAAGTTCCACCAATGAACTAAAGTCGTGTAGAAGACTGCGGGATCGCCGAGTCCGGTGCAACTATAGACAGATGATCGCTCCTCTCCTCGCACCACTGTGTAGCAGTCTTTCGCGTCCATTCCAAGAAAATCCGACACAAAGGAGGCCGCCCTGTACGCGACCCCCATGACGATTTCAGGGTAAATGTTGAATCTTTTGATGACATTGATCGTACCCGGGTATTCCGTACGATTGTCCCAGATGAGCTCTTGGAATGCAGTGACGGTGTCGGGGGCCTCGGTGAACCTTTTGAAATACGAATAGTAGAGACCCATCTCGGTGCGGAACGTCATCTCACGCTCTAGTTCCGAGAGGTGGCTGAAGAAGGAATCGTTCTCGAACAAAGTCGATGCAATCATGGAGTTCAAGTATCCAACCATGCAAGCAAGGAATATGAACTTCTGGGTACGGTTGAAGGATTTGCCGAGCTTCGGCTCAGTCGAGACCTGAGCCTGCCCCGTGGTAGAGGGTTCGACGGGCGTCTCTGAACCGTCAAGATCCGCCTGTTCTTCGGCTGAGGTTTCTCCAAGCGACTCTCCGTCGGAAGGAGCTTCCGCCATCGGAGGTTCTTCAAAACGTTTCCGTGTTGGCCTACCCGCAGGTACACTCTGAGTTTTTTCGGTGTTTTCTTGCTTCTCGCCATCGCTGAAATGGAGACGGGGACACATTGAGCTCACGTGGGAGTGACTTTGTTTGGGACAATCCAATCGAACGATTCGCCGGAGTACGGGAAATACCGATGGAATGTTCCAGTTTCCCGATGGCTTGGAGGTTCAACTCTATCAATGAAACTCTCCAAAGCATGCGAATCTCGGTACACGAGTTTCCGGCTTGATAAGAGGACGCCGACGCTGTTGGGGACTCACCGTTCAACGTTCGATGTGAACGACTGCGCGGATTGCTGCGGTCGTGAAACGGTAAGATCCTGTCAGCTCTTATCCATTCGCTGCTTGATCATGAATTCCGGTCCGGCGACGGGAGAGCCTGCTCCTTTCAAGCGACTATGTCGCGAGCGCGAATCGGGAAACCAGCAATCTCGGTTCGTTCCCCGCGAGCTCTAAGCATGACAACGCTTTTCCATCTCTCGAATTCGTCTGCTACCCTTGGGGATGTTTACGAAGCCGCAGCTGGTGGTGGAGCAGCGCCTCTAGGAGAGAAGGCCGAGCCTTTCCCACCCACAGCGACGTGCACCGTTCCGTCTCGCCAGCCTCTGTGGGTGACGTTCCTGAGTTTGACATTCGGGTGCCCTCGGCATCGGAAAGTCCCCTCATCCAACGGAGCTCAGGACCGAGATCAGGTCATGGGGAAATGAGTCGAGCCGGGAATTAGGTACTCCTGCAGGTTGAAAAATTTCCGACCTTGGAGTTCTCCAGGGAAACTGTTCCCATCTCGGGGTAGCTCTTTCGTTTCTGTCGTCCGAAAAGCGCTCCGGAGCGGAGCGTGTGGGGGAAAAAGGGTCCCACTCATTCGACAACTGCGTAGATGTACGTATGTCGTCGACTCTCCCGTCTGGTACAGTCGTTAACACGGAAACTCATGAGAGATTTCGGCTGCACCCCGTGCATCCTACTCGCGGTCATCCGCCCATGTTCATGGATCTCGGAAACTCGTTTCTTCGACATTCCGGAATCGCTTCCGTCTCCGCGCGCGGAACTGAGTGAGAGGGATTTCTGGAGGGAAGCGAGCCTGGAATCAGCCGACGCAGACTCGCGTGGCTGAACACGCAGGATCTCTAGCATGACCGGGACACATCGAGATGCTGAGATCCGCGGTCTCGAATAATATCCTTCTTCGTCCACGCGGAAAGATATGCCCATCGCCCCGTCTCCGACTATGAAAATTGCCCTCGCCACCTCTGAGTTGCCGGAGAGGAGCGTTGGTCAGGACAATCCGAAGAATCAGAAGTCTTGCTGGGAGCAAACGATGGTCTTGGCAACGGAATTGCTGGGAAAATGAATTGCAAATGACTAGACGAACGGCGTCGGTGATCGGCCGTGTGAAGTTCTAGCCCGAAGTCAGACTCGTCAATGATGAGCCCCTGGGCTCAAAGCCCAATGATTCGGCACGACAAATTTTCGCATTTCCATGAGGGGTGACGCGTCGGGTAGTGTACTAAATAGTGAGAAATGATTGGCATCTTGCGCTGTGCTCCTCGAAGCATGGAGGGAATTTATGTGATGAGTCCAAGCTGAGGTACGTCGTGAATGTCAGGAATGAGAATTCGCAGTGCGTCGCAATAAAACCGTCAACGATCATGATAAGGAGTACTCTGGTAGTTCTCCCCTGGTCAGATGACACAGGTCAGATGACAAGGTAACAAACGGGGACACGGCTCCGGAGTAAGTCCTCACGACAACCTTGTCTCCCGAGGATTTTCCGCATGGTGAGAGTTTCCGGCTCGATGAAGCTTCGGACCGCAGAAGTTCGCGGCCGCGCAGGCCATTGAAACCGCGAATATATTTCCTGAGAGTGTGGAGCGTAGAGTACAGATTCACTTCGGATATAATTTCGAGACTCCGCGATTTTTCAGGGTCGGAAATTGAAGGACTTCGTTGATCTCGCGCTGGAGAGTACAGTGTACATTTGGGGGGAGATGGGGTTCGAGAACAAATCGACATACGATCACGTATCATATAGCTCATTGATTTAGCCGGTAGCCAAAATACCACGGAATGGCCCGCAGGCAAATCTTCGTGGAGTGGGCGAAGGGAGAGACCTGTTCGGCCTGCGATTATTTGGTGAGAGCAGCTCGGAGAATTCCGTTGTAATGGGTGCCTAACTAAGTAGGAAGTATATAAACGTCCATGGGGAGGAGTCTATGTTTGGTAAAGATATTGTAAGAGCTGCTCCGAAACCGCTCTTCGGCCCGTTGCCTCAGGTCGTGGCAAGTCTCCCGCGGATGCGCCATCTTGGTTTCGCGATAACGTCGCAAAGCATACAGGAGAAAAACTGGGAGGTTATTGGTTTCCTCTAGGAAACGGTGGGTCGGAATGATACCAAAGTCACATAGGCATAAGATGGGATGTGAATTGCGCATGTAGTGAGCACTAAATCGGGTCCAGCTCGTGAAGCGAAATGTACATAGGGTGCGTCCTGACCTACAGGAAGACATTACGCTTTTATTATAGGGTTGGATGATTATTCATTATGATTTGGCGGATTCGATCATGTGGGTTCGGTCAAGTGGCTTTGGTCAGGCGGATTCGGTCATGTGGATTCGGTCAACAGGGGAGTCACCATAATTTCATCAGAAGGGGAGACACGTCTACACCTCGGACCTCTCTGATACGGCGTCGCTATTCTTGTGTATCCACCTATAGAGCCTACGGTTGCCAGAGTTCTGATTTGATTACGATACCTAGTTGAATTAATTAGGAAGGGCTGCGGGCTTCGACTTTGACTAGAGGTGTTTCGGTGATTTTATTGGGTCCTAAGCTATCAATTAGGTACATGCCCCTGGGGAAGTCGGGCTTCGATAAGCAACCTACGTTATTCATTCGCATTTTGAGAGATTCTTCTGTTGCACTTCGGACAAGTATCCCGTACAGCTACCCAGCTCTGCAAGCATTCTGAGTGATAGTAATGCATGCAATCAGTGACGATCGCCGTTTCCATATCATCAAAACAGATGCTGCATACATCGTCGCAGCGATCGAGCTCCTCTTCAGTAGCCTGCCGGAGATAGGACAAACCCCAAGAGGCTCGCCAGATCTGCAAGCTGCTTTCCAATCGTGCCTCGACTATATCCAATAGCCCGATGTGAGTGCATTTCATGTAAAGAAAGAGCCGGAGCGCCGCACTTTCCTCATCAACATCTAGGTAATACATCTGCATGATCAAATGTACGATGGGCACAGAGATGAGAATTGCGTTGACTACGCGCGCGTAGAAGAACTTCTCCTCCATCGGATCGTGGCCACCGTTCGGTCCCGCCGACGTCATGAGACTTGTGTATAGTGCCAGAGACGCGACGACTCTAACGAAGAGCTCTGCATAGAGGAGGGTGGAGGTCATTCGCCATAAGTCCGATTCGCCCCCCACGCCCGATGCGAAGAAACACACCCCAAGCGACGAGAAAACTACGAACGCCAAAGCCAGGATGGCGCGAACGTGCTTCCCGAGATGACGGCGTCGATTCGAAGCTAGATCGAGGAGCACAGAATCAGCCGTTAGATGGATTCGATGCTGAGTGCCCAGTATGAAGAGCATGAAGTTCTGCGAGAGAGCGGTGACCGCGTCCGCCGCTTCCGTGCCTCGTCTATGGAAGACGCAGGCCAGAACCAGCATCAGAATGGAGGTTCCTGTGAGCTCTCTCTGCATGCAACGAGTACTTTCCTCCAGGAGGGTCTGCAGTCTGTCAGTGATGGAGAACACTATGTCCGGGACCACGCTGCACAGGGCTAACGTGGAGAAGCTCGACTCGCAGAGATGTCCCACGACTTCGACGGCGAGGACGCTCCACTGAATGCCCTGACCGGAAACGAGCGAGCTCCAGATGATCATCAGCGCGTGTCTCATCGTCCGAAAAACGCAGTATGTCCGAAGGTATAACCACAGTTTTTTTGAGTATCCTCGGCTGTCGAGGAGCGAGAAGACGTCGCCCCGAGACAGAGCATGGTTCAAGTCTTGCCGGATCCTCAACGCGCTCTCCCTCAGAGAAGCCTTGGCCAACCAAGCGAAGTGGACCATGACCGCAATGCTGACGACAGCGAAGACGTCGCTGTCGACTGATTCCATCTTCGGGAGGAAGGCGCTCATCATCGATCCCGTGAGGGTCAACCAGACGTAAACAGGCCACGTTTCCGAGGACATCGGGACGGCAGATCGGACGAGTAGCCCGCAGAAGCTCTGCATCATGTAGTTACGCAGAACCACTTGAATGGGGATCGAACTCGACACCTGTCCATCGGAAAAGCAGTCGAATTCGGATATCGGATATTTCGCAGCGCTGAACGAGATGATGTTCCTCTGGCGGGTGAAGTGAAGCATATCCGTGCATTCTTCCCTGAGGCTCGATGCTTGCATGATGAGCCTCCGGTTGGAGACGCACGAGTAGTTCACTATGGTGCTTGACAGGTAGAACAGGTAGAACTTGATCAGCGATTCGAGTCGAATCGAGAGTCCGATCGAGGCAAGGAGAATGACTGGAAAGAGAGAAGAATCCACAATGATGAGAAGCGATAATTAGCCGCCATCGCGAGACTAGGCGGGCACAAGCCGCTAATCCTACAGAGAACGACTCGGATCTCTGAGGAGTTAAGGTTCGCTCTCTGGAGGATCTTCATCCATGGAGATCATCGGGGATCCCCGGATCGACTCGAGTTCCGAATCTTATGCTCCGCGTTCATAATTCAATGAGCATGGACGTGACGATCCAAGAGCTCATCGGGATCGAGATCACCGATGACGATAACCCTCCCGGTGGGAAGCGTGTTGGTTGCCTAAATCTCGCAGGTGCCGCTATCCGGATGCATGATGACGACGACACAACGAATAATTATCGACTCTGTGAGACACTGTAGCCGACTGTCCTAGAAGCTGGAGCTATCTTTCCATAATATCGGGTGCTATTCTCTATTCTCTCCGGTGACGACCGTCAGACTCTGTTCGAAAATTTGGTGGCTCCCGATTCCGTTTCCATCCCAGCACAACACAGGATGACCATTATCCGAGCCGGTTCGGGCGTAGAGTCGGTCCAGCTGCTCCTTCTGGATTCACCCACGACGCTTTCCGCAAGGGATGGTCTCAGTGCACCCGCGTCTAGACTTTCGTGACAATGCTCAGGAGCAAGACTGATTTTCTCCAGTACTTCGATCAAAGTGCAAATGGTCACCCGAGTTCTTTTTCGCAATCCGTTCTGCTAATAGGGAACGCTTCGTCCTGGCTTTCGAATCTTCCCCAGAATATGCAAACACTACCAAGATGGTCTCTCATCGGTAGGCCCCGGAAACGCTGCCTCCGAGTCTGCGTGCAGTCCTCCTCCAACGATTCCCCCGGTCCGTCGTCCGCGGAGGCTTTTCCAGGCCTTCCTCGAAACTCGTTCTCGGCGCCGAAATCACCGCTGTCAGCTTTCGCTTACCCCTTCCTTTAGACGCTCTCTGGTACGGCACTTCATCACCGCTAGCCTCGATCGAAATCTGAGCTTCCTTGGCACATTTTGTCTAGTGAGTCGAGAGAATCCCATAGTGAGGCCTTCCGGGCGCGTAGGAGCGCTTCTCGATGGTTACCGAGAAAAAGCTCCTTATTGAAATGACGCGATGCCGCCAATATTCCCCGAAGCTCATGCTCTACATGTAAAGAAGGCAACCGATGTGTCGGGAAAATTCAAACCTACAGCCGAGTCGGCGTCGTCCAACGGAGACTTCACCCCAATAGACATGGGCACACTCAGTGCTGACAGGTACGTAGGTCCCGTAGACAACATAAACGAGGAAATGTACTATATATATCATCACCTGCGTAAACTATAACTTACTATATGCACGGTGAGAGATTGACGTGGACCCCCCGAAGAGGTCGAAAGGCTGATTCGTCGCCTTTGTGTCTAACGCGGAGAGATAGATCTGATCATCTATAAGCATCAGCAGGGGAAGGCGCGCCGCGAACTTCAGCAACCACAGAACCGAAGAATTCCGTCTGCAGTGACGGACGAAATTCACGGGTTGTTCCAAGATGACCGCTTCCATTGCTCCCGGTAATTGCACAAGTTCGAGATGGATACTCTCTCCAAGGATATGCACTAATAAGGCCGGAACGCCGGGATGAGATGGGGGTCGAAAGAAAGTCTCGACCAACGTCGTAGTGACTAGAAATGCAGCGCTGGAGCGTGTTTTGAATACAGTACAAAGATCGGCCCTCTCTCTATATTTCGCACCCCCCGAGTGCGGACCCCACCGAGCTCGAGCGGGTCGATGCGATATCTTCGAGCAATAGACCAGAAATGCACGAGAGCTCGATACCGCAGATACTGAATAATTGGGTTGCTGATGATTAAGCTCACCAGTTTTACGATCCCCGCCCTCTGTCCGCTCTCACGGTTGGACCTCGTCTCTTGCGGAATTCCTGGCCGCGGGCTACTCCCTATTGAACTCCTCCGAGAACCCCGCTGTTTGATTTTCTCCGGTTTGATACCAATTTGGACTTTCCAGACCAGAGCTCCGCGCCCGCGTCACAGTCCCGTGGAGAATATCGCGGCCAAGGGAGATAGGCAGAGACGGGATAGAAACTCGAGCTCCCAGAATCAGCTTCACGGAAATTGAGAGCCCCATCTCATTCTCTCTTGATGTCGCATTCCAGTCGTGAGAGATATGCTTCCGTAGTACAGTGCGAGAGGGGGATGATCAGTAAAGAGCGAGGCGCCCGTAACGGGGGTTCTCGCCTAAAACTCTACTCCATTTGAATGATTCATGGGATTCGATGGACTCCTCCGACGATGTGGAGAGCGGAAGGCGAGGACTCTCATCTGTGATTCGCCCACCCAAACCACCTCCTAATTGACTGTGAGTCTCCGAGCCGCTTGCTTCAGCTTCTTCGAGGACGACCCCGCTTCGCACCATCGAGGATTACTAGGGCTGGACATCATTCGCGATTCTGCCCCCGACGTGTCTCAGGCATTTTTTCCCACGACTGCGTCTGCGAGAAGTCTGTGACTATTGAGAATTGAGACTCATCCGACTCCGGCGGCTTCCCTGGAGTTTGAATCACAGTCGAGGTCTTGTTTCCGCTGCCTTCTCTCTAGAGGAATCAGTAAATGAATGGATACACTCCTGCCGGAAACGATCGAATTCGCGGGAATCGCGAGGGAGTGAGCGGCAGAATCGCGGGAGCCGCGAATTCGGCGATCTCGGCGATCGCCCTAATGATTGCTGGAAGGAGAATGTATTATGCTTAATGCTGGACTTGCTCATTTCACTCCGCGCGAAACGCTTCGGCTGCGGTCGAGGCGGATCGCGTTGTGGTGGAAATAGAATTTGTCTCTTGATCGTGATGCGCGGTGTTTGTCTTCCTGGTGTGAGGAGCCTCAGATGAGTATTTTCATCAGTTACATCTTCGAAGACCTCAGCCAGATGAGAAGATACCCGGTCAATATTCTCGCGCCGGACTCCTTAGATTTCTCTTTACAATAACCGAATGACATCAGGATTCTCATCAATTGAGAGGCCTCTTGATCGGCTGCAGGATCCTGATTTCGAGCTCCCCCTCCGCAACAGTCCTCAAACAATGAGAAGCAGCATTGCGCTGAATTTGTAGAAAAAAATGCATAGCGCTATCGCGGTAGGGATCATTAGCGGGGAGAAAGGGTACTAGATTGTAATTCACGGCTTCGGATAAGAATTGGGCCTCGAGGAAATCGGTCGCTAGTTTACAGAAACGCTCAAGCGATTGCGGTGCCATCCATACCCGTAACCTTAACTATTCGAACGAATGAATCTCCGCTCAGAAAACACAATTTTTGGTCTCGACCGAAAAATCAAACTGCGCCGGCTTCTTAGTTGGAGCGATCTCCGTTATTCTGCTTATAGGAGGAGTTCGTTTCTGCCTCTTGACTTAATGAAGAGCATCGCCTCCAGGACATCATCGCCGTCATTGCTATCCTTTGATAGCTGGACCGTGTCAAGAAGCTGGACCAGTTCGCGACATTTCCTGAAAGAAAATCACCGATCTGACTGAAACTGATGACGGACTCCTGGGATGTCGACCAAATTCCAGGGAACGCCACGAATTCAGTGCTCATAAAACCTCACAGATATTCCGCTCGACATCTCTCCTTCACCTCTCTGCTCGGAAGCGGAGCATTTCTTAGGGAGAGGGTCTGACCAGCACGACAGACTGCGTAGAGCATTCCGTTGGCTCCCTCGGCCATAAGATAGGGCGAACAAAAGACCGAAACTCAGCACGAGCGGAATATCATGAAGCGATACCAGTTGCTCGTCGCTTCTCCACATCCCATTCCAGGCGTCCATCTCCCTATGCTCCATAGCTTTCGCGGACTTCATCGCCTGAAATCATGGTATTTCTCTCCTCGTAAGGCGAGGAAGATTTCTGGGAGGGAGAAATGTTGGAAGGTGTGCGCAGCACCACTACGAATCTTCCCGCCGCACTTCGCCATTATACTATTCCATCTAGAGAAGATAACGAAGAGAAGAGATTGACACTGCTGCACCGCTTGTTCACGGTGGTTCACATTCCAACAGGTTATGGGCCCAGGCCACCATGTGTGAAAGAGTCGAAACATTGAGGATAGAATGTTGACGAAGGCTGTGCGAGTGCCTATGCGAAATCAATAGGAGTGAACCGAGTGAAAAAAGAAATTTCCTAAACCACGGCGTGGTGACGGAAAGGAACCCGGCGGGAGAATGGTCAACGAGGACTCAGAATCGCGTCTGTCTTCGCGTCTGGATGAGTACATCTTCCAACAAGTGACTATTGAGGAAAACACCGCGACAGGCGAAACGGGAGAGCGACACAGGTGGAGGAAGACCTGTGTTGGGTTGATATGTGTTCAGAAAAGATCTACTGGAGTGTAGAACTGTGAATGTACGAATCCCGAGAATGAACATGGCGTGAATGCACGACTAGCTGGAAAGCGATCGACACGATATTCAAGAGAGCGTGTCGATGATGGTTGCTGCTGGACTCGATGAGAGCTAAAGACAGATCTCGTATCGAGAAAGCTCTGACTGTTGTCTTCGATGAGCACACCATGGTTTCGTCAATCATTTGGCAAGAATCTGAAGGAGGACCGAGGCTTAAGGTAGCGGGTCCGGTGGACAGCTTGAGAGGACCAATGCTTGATGTAGCGGGTCCGGGCGATGAGATGAGCGGACCGATGCTTGATGTAGCGGGTCCGGGTGATAAGATGAGGGGACCAATGCCATGGGTGGCGGGTCAGGATGAGAGGCCGATGCCATGTGTGGCAGGTCAGGATGAGGGGCCGATGCCATGTGTGGCAGGTCAGGATGAGGGGCCGATGCCATGTGTGGCAGGTCAGGATGAGGGGCCGATGCCATGTGTGGCAGGTCAGGATGAGGGGCCGATGCCATGTGTGGCAGGTCAGGACGACGGAAGACCAATGCCTAATGTGGCGGGTCGGGAATTGGTCGTGATGAGATGGTCGGTCGAGATGATGAACCCGTGCCATGTGTGGCAGGTTCAAATCAGCTGAAGGGTCGAAATGGGAGACCAATGCCATTTGAGGCATGTTGGAATGGAGCATCGAGCGATGGCTGAGGCACGGCTCAATTGCCCGCCAGCCTTTTTCGGAAAGCGCTGGGAGGGCAGATGGAAACGCTGGGAGCGTTGAGGACGCTAAGAGCGTAGATGAGAATGCTGGGAGCGTTAGTAGCGCTCGGAGCGCGAACAAAGGCTGCTCGGGAAGCGTCGGGAATTCGAGAAAACTGGATGAGGGTTCGGGGAGCACTGGAAATATCCGACCGTGCCGGGGTCAGAACAGAGATCAAAGTCAGCGGAACACCGAGCTGTCACTACCCGTCGATTATACAAGACCAAAACTGGATCGCGGAGTGCTGCGGAATGCCAGAGAACTTCGCGAGCGATGGGAGTACTTCAGATAAGTAGAACCTAAGTTGAATTTTCTTCGAGGGTGCCTCATCCACCTTGAATGGGAGCTCAGGTTTTGAAGCAAGGGGGAGCCTTCGAGATCGCGCTCCACTTCGAAGGATCTTCGTGGTTCTGCGCAAGGGGGAGTGTTGGAAGGTGTGCGCAGCACCACTACGAATCTTCCCGCCGCACTTCGCCATTATACTATTCCATCTAGAGAAGATAACGAAGAGAAGAGATTGACACTGCTGCACCGCTTGTTCACGGTGGTTCACATTCCAACAAGAAATTTGCTTTTATCATCAAACGACTCATTGCGATCGATATGAAGGCTCTCCAGCATGACTGAGAGTTTCCGGGGTTCTCATCCTCAACTCTAAAAATTCGTTCAGGACTTGGAGTGAAGGGAGCGAAAATCCGAAGAGGAATCAAATCCCAGTACTACTGACTAGATGAATAGGAACAGAGAGACGAGTATCCGAAGCTCATCCAAAAATTAATCAACGGAAAGCATGGCAGCGATGCCCCACAAAAATATCGAGAATAGGCGTCCCCGGTGCCGAAATCGTCTTTTCTATGAAACGCGTTGCTTCTGGGAAGAGGAAGTTCGCCACGCCGAAATGAGAGTCACACGACGGAGCAACGACGAAAACGACGCTGGCTAAGTGCGCAGCTAGCGAGCCCAAGGAAGAGTGAGCATCACGCAGAAGAGCGAAGTGCGTACATCTTCTACCCATCGAATCGCGCCGCCCTTGTTTACGGATACTCGAATTTACGTTAAGACTGCCTCGCCGAGTATAGATACCGACCAGTTTCAAAGCGCAAAATGTGCTCCGGAAGAAAAAGCTGGAGAAGAATCGGATGTTGTGAATTTGAAACTTCGCGCGGCTCTCTATCCTTATCCATAGCGAGGAAGAGAACGACGACACAATATTTGTTTTCATCGAATGCCGGAGAAAGCATGCGTATGGCTTACGGTCAAGGTTCTTCGCGGACCGTTGCTCCAAATTTCATTGGGTCGAGCCATTGCGACACTTATCGAAACCGTGAGCCCATCTCGGTAGAGTAAGCGACTGATTCTTCGGGCCTCGCGGATTTGTCAATGGGTAATCTCAATGGGCCCAGTAGGTCAGTGGGGAAGGGTTTCGGATTCAACTTCTGCATCCGTCAAGAACTGCAATGGCGAACTAAAGACCGACTCTGGCCTACTTGAGGGGACACCGCTGTTACGACTGGGCATAGAAAGGTCTCCCTGTGGCTCTTGAGCTGACGATTTTTGCCTTGAATCAACCTAAGCCGACGCGCCGGAGCCTTCTCTCGTACGCTGCGCCAGCAATCTCGAGTTTCAGCGACTTTGCATCCAGAATCCACTGAGAGAAATGTCGGATTTCGACCAAGTTGCCTCCGTGATTCTTGCGTCGGTTATCTCCGACAACGTGTCGAAGGTATCACTGCGCTCTTTTATACATTGTTCACCCTTGTTTTGGCGAGTAGCACCGTTGTTCCAGTTGGAGAAAAACACGACCCGCTCTACATATTCTCTAATCACGAGCTCGCGGTCCGAGATTGCGAAGGTTCTTGATGGAGTTTCCTCGCCGGGAATACATTACACAGATTAGGCGCAGACTGAGAATGTCGGCGCGGTTTCGGATCTCAAAGAGTGCTCTGAGATGAGCTTCCGTGCTCTGTACAGCCGCGCTCCGTCTCTCGCATACATGCCACAGACGGTCATTTTTTCCCAATCCTCTCGAGTACTCTTCGACTTCATGCGGATTCGACTGTTTGTTCAAATTCCTCACGACTGGTGACACTAACTTCGGCCTCCGGGAGTTCCGATAAATCGAATACGAGGAGTTCCCTGACTCGAAGGATCCTCCTCGCGTCGATATCGCGGCTAGCGGTCTGATTCTCGGAATTCTACAGGTGAACTTCTTCCTGGACTCATGATAAATAAGTCGAATCAAGGTCCGGAAGGACTGGAACTTTCCGCTGCTCTCCCAAGCGCAATATAATGCAGCAGCTGGGGGGAAAACTCACATCTTGTCGGAATTTCGGAAGGGCGCAGGCATTCCGCGATACCCTCAGGGGGAGAGCCCTCTACTGCAAAATCTCTTTGCTCCTCGGCAAGGCTGTTTCTCAGTATCGATGAGTAGGACAGCGCTGGAGCAGGCGTGGTGATCGATTGCCCCCAAGATTTTCGGGGACATCACCAACCTTTCGACGCTCCAGCTTTATCGGAACAGCTTGAGGTCATGCGGAATGTCGAGAAATGTGACAAAATATGGATGTGCGAAGAAATGTGCCCCTGAAACAAGAGGTACGGAACTCCGAGTTTTCGCCATCGGATCGAGGCTCTTGGCAATCAGGGCCGAATCTGTCGACATCTCGAGAAGAATGTCTCGCTGGAAAAACATGACGGTTTCTTGGCAAGCGACTTGTACCAATTTGCCGGTCCAGAGTCTTGTGTCTCATCGATGCTTTCGAGGGAGCTTCGCCCGGATCGCAGCGAACTCGAGAGGAGACGTGCGTCTGATTTCTCCTTCCATTGCCAATCGCTTTCCGGTAGGCACCGACTATTGAGTCCCATTCAGAGGAGACATATTGCGCAGAGATCCGAACAGGCTCTCTCGATTGCAGCTTGTCTGCGAGGCCTATCAATCATCGGTACCACTCCGTGCTCAATTCTGGCAATCCCTTGCCCAACCTACGTCGCTCATGTTCGTATAACCGTGCCATAACGTCGCGTCGTCCCAGTTTGATGCGTGTTGCGAATAGAGGAATTTCGACCTCGCGAAGTGACTATCGTGTCTTTCGTGCCCCAGAGCTCATCGAAGCTCAGGGATATGAAGGGGATCTTGACGCTTGTGAACGACCGAATATCGATCTTGCGGCTCTTCTCATTTTGCGCGAAAGAGATCAGGTTCGGGAAGCAGTTCGGCCTCGTTGAACTTCCCCGTAGGTGGGAGCCCCTGGAAGCTGAGATGAATGGATGATTACTGATCACGGATTCCCAGTGGAGCGCCGTACCGGAGATCGTTTTCTTTGGGGTGCTGGAATAAAAGGGATGCCAGATATGCGTGAGCGTGGTACTCTTAGTCCCGGGCGACCTCCGGGGATTCGAGAGGCTGAGAAATCTAGCCATTCGGGATGTCTCTCAGAAGCTCGGGAGTTTTCTCCCCGTCTCACGGGAGTTCGAAGGAAAGTTCAACGACCCGAGTCCCTCAGAGTATTTTCGGGAAAGTTCGGTTATTCTGTCAAGTCCATGCTGCCCCTCCCGCTTCAGCCGAGGGGAGAACTGATATGAAGATTGCGTATCGAGACAAGTATGCCATTCTACGAGCATATCTGACGACGGAGGCGAGAATTTCATTAAACGCGGACATGTGAGTCAGAATTCCAAGTTTGACTTGTCCTCGACTCGAATCGCGGACGTCTCCACAGTCATCGATTGGAGCGTGATTTCTCAAATTCATGATGGGAACAACATAGGTCTCCCCCGGCGGAGTCCAGCTATCCACCAAGGGAAGGTACGAAAAGTGCGCTCACGTCGAATGCGTCGCGCGAGCGGCGAAGACGAGGCCCGAGAACCGGACCGGGATATTCGAGCTTCGGTCTCGGATGCGTCCGTTTCCAGCCGACTGACATCGTTACAATTTTTCTTTCGCGCAAATCCCTTGAAACCAATGCGTCAATCGGAGCCGCACCCATTATCCAGACATTCGGTCTCATTGAATCAAGAAGGTTATTCCCTCGATATAATTTCGATATACTCTCCTGTGCTCGGGAAAGTACGGATAGTCCGATCAGATTTCAAGAGAGCACCAAGAGTATCAATGCACAGCGTGCGGTACGATTCCGACTCAAGTTCGCGATGCTGTTTCAAAGCTTGCGCAGCAAGTCATTTTGGAAAGAAGCGTTTGCGGCCGGGGCGATCAGGGAGGGGTAGTGACCGACCGTCCTGGGGACTCAGAGGGTCATGCCAGAGATCCTTGACAAGTGATTCCAGAAGCGCGTCAAGAACAGCGAGTCCCGCCTCGATTTATTTATCTCAATAATCAGTGATTTTCTGTATTCAGTCCAGTGTGAAATAGTCTCGATTCCGGATATGCATTCGCTAAAAAGTTCTGTCCCTTGTGTAAGCAGTACTGCCGAGGGATACGACGCCAAAACGTCATGTGACGCTGAGAAAAAAACGCGGATGAAGCGTAATAACGTAATAACAACAAACTGCGATGTTCCCCTCGAGAGTCGCGTTGGTATCCAGGGCCGAATTAGGAATGGTAGATTACAACGCCGGGATCTAGTTCCTCTCGCGGCGCTGGCATCGGTGACGCGGTCCGTTGTCGAGTCGGGCGAGCTGTTTTCAGTGTCGGCGACTGCGCATTCGCTTGTTAGATGTCGGCCTGTTCGCGTCTCCGTGTCTTCAATAGTACTGATCGAGCAAGAGGAGAGGGTCTCCAGCGGCCACCACTAGGTCGGCAGCAGCAGCAGCGGCAAAGGAGCTTACCCGACGGCACACTGGCATCCGTTGTTGTTGTTGTGGAACTTTTGTCTATGTTACGAACGACAGTGACTTGAACCCTCATCGGATTTGATCGTTCTTTAGAGAAGCGGAGCATTTTTGTGTAAAAGTGAAGTCGCCATGGAACAAGGCTGCCTGAGGTTCGAGCAAAGCGCGCCACCGCTCGATTTGAAACTGGTTGCGGCTGCTTCGAAGCTCCACCATCGTGTTGACGGAGGAGACGACGACGGTAACGTTGTCGTCGATAATGAAGACCACCGGAGGAGACCGTTTTTGTTGTCACAGACGAGATCGAAATCGAATGCCGCGCGGAAATCGGCAGGAAACAAAAATCTTCGCTCCGATCGGCCTCAACTCTCGTCCTCATCGTCATCATCGCTGACGGATGACTTGAGGAGCAAGCTGATTGGGATCGCTCGGACAAAAAAAACATGCATCAGAGAAGAAAGCAGCTGAGCTCGACAACAACCCTGACGGGAGACGTCTCCACCACAGGCGAAGGAGGAGAACGCACTCCTTCAAAAAGTGAGTATCACTTGCTTGCTCCGGTCGGTCACAAGTGCTCGAGAGCTATCTTAGCCCGAGAGTCTCTCTGGCTTCTTGAAATCGGGAGAACTCGTCGAGGCTTCCTGAAATGTGGAATGAAGAGTCGCTCATTCTGCCTGTCGTTCGTCCCCCCTGCGAGCGAAGGGGGGGCGGATAATTACAGTGCAGGCGTTAATTCTGCGGTTTGTGCACGCTGCGACCGGTGAAGTTTTCCTTTACCAACCCGGGGGTCGCGGAACTTTCCGGACGAAGGGCCGAAGGGAGAACACTCGAACGATTGCCTCCAATCCTGTTGCAGAAATCCCTTCAATGTTATTAGCTCAGGTGTTATTGGTGGAGCGCGTTCCGTTGAGCAGCATTCTCGATATGGGATTGTTCTGCTCATTGCCCCTCGACATTGGCCGCGAATGCGTCCGCTTGACAGCGAAAACATGTGAACATGACGACACGTTACTTGTGATGATGTCGCTGCCGAGGAGCGTCCGAGAAAAAATTCGTATGACCGAGTTCTTCCGACTCAGCCTGTCGAGAAGTTTGTCCCGTTGCGGTAGAATCCTTCGTGCAGTATTTCGGCTTCCGCGTACCTTCGATTCAGACGCTTAGCAGGTTCAGCGTATCTGTCCAAATCGTCGCTTTCTGTGTTGCTCACGCAGTCCGAGTCGACTTGAGAGATGAGCAGGGGTTTGGTGCGGTCGAAGCTTCTAGAGAGGAATATTCTATCCGGGTTTGCCATCGCTCGACCCATTGCGAACATGCTTCTCGATTCTGGCGATGGGCTGTAGCTGCGCTCTTGATAGAAAGTGCATTCTTCTGATTACTTCTTTTCCGGGGAGGCCGCTTCGGGAGCGAGTGAAATTGTTTTTCTCCTTCGGAAAATCGTTGTTTACGCTGCGAAATTCTGGCCCGGCCAGCTCCCCCCGACCGCTGACAGAGCGAGAACAGTGGCCGCCGACAAGGCCGCAGCTATCAATCTGATAATGTAGATCCGCGAGTTCCGTTCATCGACCACTTTCACGTGACGAGACACCGGTACGACGATCCAGATCTTTCCTCTCTAACCTCTGATGTGGATTCAATTTCAGGTCGAATTCGACAGGGTCTTGGCAGGAGCGACGAGATGATATTCGTCGTCGGAGAGCTGCTCTCCGTAGGCAGTCGTTGGGGCTATCCGTAGCTCCATACAACACGAACCAGTTCCTGATGGAAGAGCATCAAGGCGAAGTCGATGAAGAGGATCTCGTCCATCCTCGGCGAAAACGAGGCGATAGCTTCAATTCGGTGAGTAGTTTGCCTACGCCGTCTCCGAGTTCCTCTGCAGTCTTGATCGTTCTTCGCTCCGAGAATCTGAGAATTCCGCCGACGCTCTCGTTGGATTCGGTCGGCAGCACCCTGTTTTGGTCGGTTACGCCCCTGGCGGATCACGTATGCCGCGTTGCGAGCGTAATCTCAACGAGACTCGCTGTTAACACATTCAATCTAGATTTATCTGATGCTGACTCAAAGAGCAGGATTTATCATGTAAGCAATGGATTTCGATGATCGACAAGAGGACATCGCTGCTCGTAGGCTCGACGTCAACAGTTTATCCTCGGGTGATGGGTCCCGAGGGACCAGAGGAGATCGCAAATATCCTGTCCTGGAAGCTCTTTATCCATTCTTGTTGTGGCCGTAAATTATCTTGATATCTGAAATTATTTGTCGATCGCGGAAGCAGCGAGTCTGTGGACCCCTCGCATGATGTGATCACATACACATCGCTCGGTGGTTGCACGCGCGCAAACCACTCGGCTGACTGCGCTGCCCGTTACTTGAGCGTCCCCCGTCCCCCGCCAAAGTCGTGAAGTGAAAGCGAGCTGCCGTCGGACGGAGTGAGCGACCAAGCGACAAATGAGCGGACCGTTGCTGCTGTCACTGAATTCGGCTGTTGACCCAGCGCGGAGTGCCAAGGTTGTCTTTCTCCTTCTGATTGAACGAGCGGTGACGGCGAGCGCCACCACCTGATCCAGCCGTTGCGGTTCTGAATCCGTGTTGCTCATTCAAAGTCGTTTTTTCGAACTGACCTATTTACGGAGTAATCTCGCGAAACAATGACTGAACGTATTTTTAAATGGGGGCTATGGATTACGAGATCGCAGCATTGGTGGAATTGATCTCGGTCAGTCAGTGCTGATTCCACAAATGAGCTCATGAAGTCCCGATCACAATGTCGTAGAGCTCCGGAGATGGGGCCCGGGCCGTAGTCGGTTCCGGGGCGGCTATTGATGGATGATCTCCTTGGTGCCTCCCTGAAGCCCCCTGATTCATGCATACGAAGAGCTAAATCAATTATCTCTTCCCTTCCAGGTGGACTCATTTGGAGATGACTACAATTCGTCGTCGTTCGAAGACGACGAGTATTTACACGCTCAGTTTTGCGCTGAGTACGATTCTGTGGCTTCGGAGCGGCTGCACGCGATGAGCAAAGCTGAACTGGTCCACGAATACCTTTTGCTCGAGGCAAGAATAGACTCGTTGGAGGAGGAGCTGAAAGTTGTGAAGAAAGCCGAGGAAACCGATCAACCCATGGAAATTCAAGCAACCGAAGAGGATATCGCCAAGATCAGCGTTTTCCAGCAGGAGATTTCGAAGCTTCTTGAAGAAAATCGTCGACTCCAAATGGAAAATGATAATCTTCAGCAGAATGTCGTCGTTGTACAGGGAGCTGCCGGTGGTGCGGCGGAGGGAGACGAAGAATCTATTTCAGTCGACGATCAGTAATATCCGGCTCTTCACTGAACAGTTGATTGTCTCCGGCCTGGTCTTGTACGGATACTGCCGGAATGTCTCGACGATGATGACGATGATCGTCATACAGAAACAGCGTTCTCTTCCAAGCAGCATTGTGATGATCTCGATGTTTTATGCTGTCTATTGCGGCATTTGAACTCCACAAGATGGATATATATTTCTACCAAATTCACTTCAGTGCCACTGCTTGGGGGAGATTGAGTGAGAGTCAGAGCATGTGCGAAGATTGAAGAAAGTCAATTGATCCGCGGCGTACTTGGCTACGTGAGAGGAACCAAGTTTGTTCCGGTTGCTTCCGGTCTTACACTATCACGGAAGTGAAATGCATCACACGTACAGTTGCAACTCGTTTTGTTGCCAACAGAGAGAGGATGTGTGTTTTTTGTTTCTTTCTCTTTTCTGGAACGATTGTACATCAACAATCCTGAGCCAGTTGATCATGAGCCAGTCGTCCTGAGAAGGCACGACGCGAGGCAAATGTGCGAATGGGACAAATATACATCGTTGTCCATTGCGTCGTTCTCTCGAATTCATCACGAATGGCACACAGCCCCGAAGGAATGCATGGAATAGAATGAACAAGGAGCGAGAGTCCGTGGTTGACAGTGCCTGAAGGGACCCTTATTGGTCGAATCTCCTCAAGTCGCGGGATATCGGAGATTTCTACGAGATACCATTGTGGAATCTGTTTTCATCCAGCATGGAGATCGAAACAGGGAATTTGTTCGACGTGGAGATTGTGTACGACATGGACTTGATGTCGGGGCTTCGTTTTGGAACCTCATATGCACCTCATGAGTATCGTGGACATCATCGTGGAGACGGATAACGAGTCTCGTCTCGAGTCCTCGATGCCTTGGACGACTTTTGATTTTTTCCCCAATCGATTCAGTTCAATTTTCCCGTCTCGTTCGGCTTGACTGCCTCCTCAGTCGCAAGGTCACCCGTGACGAATATCTTCTGATTATTTTTTTCTCGATTATTCTCCATCCATGTTTTGTTCCAACAGAGGAATTCTCTAACCCTCTTTCTTTATTTTCGACCCAAGAATTTCTATGAGTCCGAGAGAATGATCGTATCTTCCGTATTGGGATACTTCTCGTACGTGAGTGATGGAGGCCTGAGTGGAAAGGTGATGATGGAAACAACAACGCCACCTCTGTGATTACGATGTGATCGAAAATTTTTTATGTTACTACGGTAAACACGGAATAAAGCGACAAAAATTATATTTGCCCTTTAAAAAAGCCCAGAATTCTTATTCTTCAAACCAGTGTCCAATTTATTCCGCGCTCGTTCAGTCGCGGGTCGCGATCAAGGGATCGCATCCAACCAGTTGTCGATGCGATCGAGAGCTCCGTATGTACATCTTCACGTTGTGCAATTCAGGCAGACGGATAGCCACCTCTTTGGGTTTCGACGCATGCAATGGAGGAATAGGAGTAATAGACAAATATTAACTTCGTCCGACATGAGCTAAGCGAGTATCCGTCCTGGGATCGGCTGTGAGAGACTGCACCGCGACTATCGCTTCGTTAATTCGCGTTTGGAGATTCCGTACGTCTTCGATGAAGAGGAGACGGAGGATTTTGGCGGCACCGTTCAGTACGGGATCTTTTAGATCGAAGCCTAGGTGAATCTGGGACATTTCCAGAGGTTTTCCTTCTTTCTTGGTGCTGCCTCGAGCCTCCACGGAAAGATACATCTCCGAATACTTCGCCACAGCCCTCAGGGTCACACTGGGGTCCTCGGGATGTGGTTGAATATTGAGCAGAGCAGCCAGTCGATCCACGCCATCCTTGAATTCGGGACTGTCGTCTGGCAGAGAGGTAGTTTGAGAAAGAGTTCTTGTTGCAGATCATCTGTTTTGTATGATCGATAGGAGATTGGTACTTCCTTTTTCACTCACATTGAATTTCAGCTAGGGGATCATCAGACTCGAGGGCTGCCTTCTCAGCGGACAAATCCGAGAAGTCATCAGCTGCAAAGGCGAACATCATGAGGGCTGCCACTAGGCTCAGCGAAAAATCGTTGACACGAACATAGTCATTCGACATTCCCATGCAATCATGACTTGCTTCACTGACCGTTGTCCATGTAGTCATTTCTGACAGCCAAGCCCAGGAGCCAATCCACGCATTCATTCGCCTTGCTCTGATCGAAGGGACAACCGGCGAGTTTGAGATAAGCCGCGAATGTTTTTTTCCACTCTGAGGGGGACGTCGCCGAGAAACGTCCCCGGTTAGCGGCCGTATGAAGACGAAGCTTATCCTCTTCCAACCATATCGCTAATTTGCGCACTTGTTCGTCATCTGGGGGATGATTCGGATCATCGATGTTACCGTTCCGTAAGGAAACATCGTTTCGTAAAAGAGTTCAGACCGGACGTTCGGAATTTTGCCTGCGCTCGATTGATATTCTCGGATAGCTACGTAATCTCACACCGAGTGAATGCCCCACTCGTCTCGTCAAGTTGAGGTCAAACCATGCCGCGATTTCGATTTCGAGATCACGGATTCCGATGGAGCTGGGGTTGTGTGGGAGAGACCTCACAGCTCCAGAGAAAACTTCTAGAGGTTCGATCAGTGTAGGGGTGGAAATTCTCCGAATGAATGAGTTTACCCGTCGTATCAAAGTCATCCTTGTGGGGAAAGTCCAGAGCTTCGAGTTTCCGGCGGAACATTTCAATGAATGAGATCAATGTATGGCAAGCGAAGCACATGCATCGACTGATGAGTGAGTGTCTCGATGCCGGAGAGTATCAGCGAGTTTGCGTCCCTTCCGTCGATTAGTTTCCGAGGGTTTGTGTCCTCTCTTCCAGTGCGTCGTTGTGGGGTTCTCGCTATTTCATCAGTCGGAGAGCCTAGACTCAAGTTCATTTTCGGTCATGATAATCTGATTCCTTAGCCACGATGTCTTCGCGATCTGGTGAGTTTTCGATCGGTAAATTGTGTCGAGCCGCGCGTGAAACCTGTTGGAAATTGAAGCTTAGCATCGCCTATCGCAGAACCATCTGAGGGGTTGCAAGGGGGGCTCCGGAGAGACTTCGAGCCTCATAGGAGAAATCGATCAGAAATGTTGTACTCTATTATCTGACGGAGACTTCAAGCGACAAGCTGAGTGTATATCGCAGCAACGAGAGAAGGAATCGACCTCCTCTGATTTTGGGCCACTGACCCATATGCAGGCGGTCTCTCGTTTCTCTGCGAAGCCGCAGCTCCTCTGGACTTGAGAGACTGGAGGGCCGTGAGCCTTTCCTAGAGGGCTCCCGTCGGACATCCGTGCGACAGGAGCAACAACTCATGTGAAGTCAGACTGCGGCTACTTTCGCTATTGCCGGGAAGAGGAAGAGCACTGCTCGTGGCAAAGGGACTAACGGACCGAGGTCGGCTTGTGCCAAACCCAGGTCTGGCCGGACGGCTCGACTCTGTGAGTGTATGTCATTCACTTGCTCTCACGACGAAGCACAACCTCGCATTGAAGTGGTGTACAGACGAAGCGCCGTGAACTGATCGGGACCATCCGTGCCTGGTATCGGTGTCGATGGTTGATTTGCTCTTCCGAGTGGTGAGTTGCACCCCGTCAAACGATGTGCACATCCTCGAAAGCCAAATCGAGGAACTGTTCGCCCTCGCGTTCACTGTCGTTTCCATAGCTCTGTCGCATTCGTTGCAAGTTAACGCTCTAAATTCTTAATATCGGACAATTGAGAATTCTCCATGGTCGGGGACGCACATATATCGTTGTATATCGAGGCTCTCTCTCGAAGCGCGGAGTAGAGTAGAGGACAGAACAGCCGTAGTCTAGTTTGAGATGTACTGGAACGGCTACAGTCGTGCCTTGCATACTGTCGCGGGTGGCGACATTGAAACTCTTGCGCTGACCTTCCTCCAATCGCGGCGAATTTCGCGAATCCTCTCGGCGGAGCTTGGATCGTCAGAGCCTGCTGAATTCCCTATCATGGATTATGAACAACGCGGATCCCACACCCATAGGTTGCGGGCATACACGAATCGAACGATCGCTCGTTCGAAAGCAGCGATTCATCGAACAGACTCTCCGATTATTAGTCATGCCCGCTGTCATCGAGGCAGACACTAGGCGGGTCGAAGAGTGTGGATCGACGTCAGAGAGGCTCTGTGTGGACCCCGTCGGTGTCCGCGTCGGGAAAAACTCTGAAAGTGACGGTGGTCTCGCCGGAGATCAGAATCGGCGATCGGACTGAGGGCCGAGCGGCCGAGCAAAAACGCCGGGCGTTGGACTTAGCCACCGACCCGTTCCCAGACATGATAATTTCTACTCGAAATGATTGAAGTAAATTTCGTTCCAATCACTCGCCGCCCAGAGCACGTGAGAACTCCTCCAGAATCGATAGTCCCATGTGAAGCTGAGAAAATGTGCATGAACGTTCAGTGAAGGGGGCGTGGGGCTCTCGACCGTGATACGCGCCCTTGACTGGCCCCACGATACTCACCCGGGAAAAGTTCAGGGTCGGGACGATTGATGATACGGCTGGCTCTCGATGAGATGATCCTCAGTCATTTTTGATTCATTATCAACTTCTAGTTCGCATACTGACGCGAGTTCCCTCTCCACAGTTTTTCACAATGATGCGTGAGCTCGAAGCCGGAGACTCAGGAAACATGGAAGATGGGGCAGCGCTGCCGCCAGCGCGGGAGTTCGACGAGGAGAAATTCAAATGCGACGTGTACTTCATGTGCCGTGAAGGTAAGAGGACCCCCCCCCCCCGATGCGCAGCACATCAGGGAAGCTCCATAGCGACCATATCCTCGACCTAGGATCGCCGAAATTTTGCGATTCCACACTGGAGTTTCTTTTCCTTCAAGGCTTCCCGGAGCAGCTGACAAACTGCATCGCTCAGGCAAAGGCTCAAGTTGGTCTCGAGAGGGTGAAAGAGCTCCTGAATGCAAAGTACCAAGACGATGCTCAACTGTGCGCTCCCCTATTGGTGGCCTCAAAGGAAGGTCACGTTGAGATCTGCGACCTCCTGATTTACGAGTATAACGTAGACGTCGAGACCGAAGGTGAGCTCTTCGGAGCTAGATGCGCTCAAAGCCTCAATGCGATGAATCCCTCATATCCTATCTATGTTTTCAAACATGATGACGGACCCGAAGGCGGAGCGACATCGACGGAGAAAAATAAAGCAAGCATTCCGTTTCTCGTAGGAACCATTCTCTTCGATGGATTCAAGATCGAAGGCGCCACTCCCTTGTGGTGCAGCGCAGGAGCGAACCATATGACGATAGTCATGATGCTGATAAAGTTCGGCGCCGACGTCAATCATTCCACCCGGAGCCGTTCCACCCCCCTCAGAGCAGCCTGTTTCGATGGAAGGCTTGAAATGGTCAAACTACTTCTAGATCACAAGGCGGACTACAACATCGCCAACAAGTTCGAAAATACATGCCTCATGATTGCGACCTTCAGAGGGCACAAGGATGTTGTCAAATGCCTGCTCAGTCTCGGCGCTCCCGTGAACGCCCGAGCGTTGTGCGGAAATTCGGCTCTTCAATTCGCAGCGGAGGCGGGAAATATAGAAATAATCCACGAACTCATGCAATTTGGGGCTGATATCCGAACTGTGAACAAGAATGGCATGACCCCCCTCCTATCCGCAGCGGAGAGAACACAAGCCCATGTGAGCGTAGAGTTTGATAGGGATGATAATAATAATGAGAATGACAGTACTGATGCTCGTTGATCTCTTTCCACTGCGATAGGATGAGCTCGTTATTTTTTCTCCTACGAGAACGTCTCTCCCTTCCAGGCCGTAGAATATTTCGTTGATCTCAAGTGCTATCCTCGCGAAGAGAATATCGATGCCTTGGAGGTGCTAGGGGCATCTTACGCTAATGACAAAGACACGTACGATCTGGAGAGATGTTATCACTACTTACGGGTGGCCATGCTGGAACGCGCCAAAGAACCGGTGATCACGAAGAAACTTCCCCCGCCTGTACCTGCATACGAAAACCGAGTAGAATGCCAGACATTAGAAGAACTGGAACAAATTAAATATAATGCGAACACGCTCCAAATGGAGAGCCTGGCCATCCGAGAGCGGATACTCGGTTCTCACAACACTGAAGTACCTCACCACGTGACATTCAGAGGCGCGGTTTTTGCTGGTGAGCGAAGTCTGAGACTTGTGGCCGAGTGGAGATATCATCGTATCTGAAGATCAGAGTCTCCCAAACTTGAATTTCTCAAGTGAACTGTTCGTTATTGCAGACTCAGCTGATTTCGACCGGAGCCTGGAGCTCTGGCTCCATGCTCTGACGCTTCGGAGAGACAACAACATTTGTCTTCTACAAGATCTCGTGCGTTTCGCCCAGCTGTTCTGCCAAATGCTGCACCTCGGGGTTCCGGTATCGGTTGAGGTTCTGAGACGTGTTTTGGAAACGGCGGCATGCCAGCTAGAAGTGAGTAATATGCACAGCTCGGTCCTGTGGAATCGATGATATCTTTATGTACATCATATAATATCCATAGGTTGAGATACGATGCATCCCGATCTGAGCGATATTGACTTAGCCCGTCTTTCGCCAGGCACAGAAGAAGGCTGCGAATCATACTGACGACGAGCACGAAATCGTTCTTACCATCCTCTACCTCTTGGTCGTTCTATCGAAAGTTCTTCTCCGGGAACCGAAGGAGAAAGAAGAGCTTTTCGATCTGGTTCGACGCATCAACGCGAGTCGATGCGTCACAAGGGAAGGAAATTCCCTCCTACATCTGGCCGTGGACGAGGATACACCGGTCAACGATTTCCACACGAGGAATCTCTGTCGGTTCCCGTGCGCCAATACGGCCAAGTAAGTTCCCGTGAGGCCCCACGGGCTCCTCCAAGCCTCCGAGGGGGAGCCTGTTCCGTAGTCTTCAGAGAGTTCTCTCATGGTTATCTCTTCCAGGCTCCTGATCCGGTGCAATGCCAACGTCAACGCCATCAACAAAGAGCGAAACACCCCGCTGCATATCATCATGAAGTATTCGAATCCTAGCTCTAATTTCAAAGCCCTTCATTCAATCATGTCGGAATTGATACGGAACGGCGCGCATACGGATACCGTCAATGCCCGAGGTTTGTGAGATAACTACGAAATGGAGGTGTGAAATCAATCGCTGCCCTGAAAATCCCTGACTCCGAGTATTTTCGTACCGGAGATGCGAAACCAACGGTCCAGCTTCATTCGGGGAATTGTTGTCCAGCCTAATTTTGAATCAAATTCGGAAGCTCAAGATCCTTTGTCTCCTTCTAGGTCAAACTCCTCTCGACGCGGCTTCCACCAGCATGGCGAGGACACTGCTCCGATTCCAGCTCGAAATTAAACTCAAGTGCATCGCTGCGAAAGCTGTCCAGAAGCACGGTTTGCAATACGAGGGTATCGTCCCAACAGGGCTCATTGGCTTCATAGAAAATCACGGCCGACGGGAAGATAAAGTGGGAGTTGAAAAGAGCTAGGACCCTCAAGGGGACAGATGAGCATGGAAGCCGAGTTCCGGTGTTTTCCGTCGCGAGGACGAGCGTCTGGATTCCGTCCAACGATGCTATCTCTGCGATGCTATGTATCTTGTTTATATATTTTTACGTACACTATCGGAAGTCCGCGAGAAACTGCGGATGGATGACTCACAGGACTGAGAGAGAAAAAAATATTTGAGTCTCGTTGAAAGCTGTAAGCTCTTTGTGCAATATTTCTTCATAGGTCCCACGGTGGAATCAAAAGTGATTTCTGCTCTCACATGCTTTCCATTTGTTATGGAATTCCTGCTTGCTCGATTTCGCAATGCTCGATATAATTTGTCTTCCCCTCGAGGGCGTGAGGCTCTTTTCTTCTAGAAGTGACTCGGCACAATAAGCGTAATGACCTAGATTTTATTCCGCTCAAGTAGCTATCAGCATGTAGTCAAGATTTTCAGAAATACCTAGCTCGTCGTAAGACCAGCGTTTCGCTCATAAATACTCTTGAGAGCCATGATCTCGAATGGACTCCTCTCTGCCCTCGTGATGCCGAACACCCGCTTGAGAGCATCGCGTACCGCCACGTCGACTGCGGCTGCTTGTGTTTCGTGTGCTCCCTTTCCAAGGAATTTTCTATCCGAGTATATGGCGACGTAGAATACGGACTCGAGGGTGTTGCGACCGGCATCCCCGATTAGACGGGGCTCGTAAGGGGGCTGATTTCGTTTTTTGAGGATGCTGTTCAGAAGTTGAGACACATCGATCGGATGCCAAATATCCATGATGTCTTTGCCCGCCAGCTGAATGAGTACGTAGCGCCGACAGAAGTCGCCTTGGTTCTCGATCGAGCCGAAAACAGCCAGGAAGGCTTCTCTCATCAATTCAGGCTCCACCGCTTCACCATCACCTGTAACAGAAGAGAGCTTGATGATCGTTCCACATCGTCCAAAAGTTCCTCAAAAAAATTCGAGCCAGAAGGAGCTCCTCGCATTACAGAGAAGCTCTCGGTCTTACCGGGTCTGATGACGAGCGGTGCAAAACCCATCTGAGACGCGACATCGGTGAGCGATTCTGGCGAGCAGAGGAAATTCCGTACGGCCTCGACACCTTGCTGAGGGAGTTTCGGATATATTTCGCTGATCTGAGTGGTCAAAACTTCACGGAGTCGTTCCAGACCACTCTCAGCCAGCTGCTTATTGGAACTCAATGCGAGAGGCTCGAGTCCGATCTTGACCCGCTGCTCATTTTCATTCTCGACAAAGGCTTGACTCCTGAATGCGTCCCTTATAGAAGGTCCAGGTTGGACCGAGAATCGCTTGCAAAAGATGTTCACCTCGCGGTCGAAATCCCACTCTACGACAGCTGATCTGCAAAAGCGAGCGGAACCTCGAAGAAATCGTCGGTGAAAATAAGTTCGGGGCTGCTCCTCCTGACTCCGCGCAGAATAGGGCTTCTCACCTCTGAGGTATATGCACTCCGACTTTGTCTTGACGCTTTTTCAGAACGGTAAGCGTCGGAAACAGGCTTCTCTTGTATCCTCGAACCCCCAGGGCTAGTGATGCCTCCAAACACTTTCGGGTCAACATCACTGAGTAGAGATCAACAAATATATAAATTCATCCACAGAATCAGAATCGGTCGCCGGCGGCGCGGAGAACCAGCAACACGCGCAGCTGCTCGGAGGAAAACAAGACTTACACGACACAGCTCGAAGGCTGCCCGGAACGGGCAGGCGCCAAATTCGAATGCCTCTCACGGAGATCACTGACAATGATATCGATGTTTCTCGAATGCGCGGTTCTCAAAGAATATCACTGTCTTGCGGGGGTGTATGTGGCGTGTTTGTCGAGAGAATCGGCCTCATCGAGGAGAAAATTGAATCTGCCCGCAATACTCGATACAGGAAAGTTTCTCCCGGGGAGCTCAGTGGACTCGGATACTCACGGGAGAAAAACTCGCACCCTGGCCAGTTGCGGGAAGGACTTAACGACGGTTTGTGATACGAAAGTGCTTAAATGAATCGACCGAAAAGTCTGGGATCACCTAGAAAAGCGCTGGGAAGCTCGGATGAGACAAACTCCGGGGCTACGCAGCGCTGATAAGCTCCGGAGCGCAGTAAGATTCTTTTTCGGACGAAACACCTCGTCGATGTCCGAGGGGGGAATTCTCACATCGTTACTGATAGGAGTGCTGACAATCGAAATCGTACTAAAAGTGGAAGTGACTCCTTCGATTCAGGTTTGTTCCCGTCTCGAAACAAGATGGGTATTCTCCTCATCAGCGTTCGTTGTTGGTTTCGGCAACGGTTGCTTCAGGTGAGGGAATCACGTCGCTTCGTGAGTGAAATGATTTATTTCTTCTCTCCGAGTCTTATCTAAATTTAATGATACATGAATGTAGAGACTAGGAGCCGCGCTCACAAAAATCGCGCGACTCTTCAACGAAGATTCCCTCGGAAGGGAATATCTTTAGCTATCGGATAGGCGCAAAAAAAATCTCAAACTTTACAGCTAGCATTCGATTCCGATGACCGAAGATTGCAGAGAATGCTCGCCTTCGACGCATCGTCGTAAGTCGCATGAGCCAAGCGCTTCATGTAAACTTTGAAGAAGTCCTGTGGGGAGAGAATAATTCTCGTTGGTTCATTGGGAGTTCGAACTAGGTCGAAAATTTCGACGAACCACTCCGAATCTCTTAAGGCTGAAGGATATCTGTACCGACCTTGAAGGCTCCGTCATCGGATTCCAATTTTTTCAGATAGTCGGCGTACGCTTGGGGCTGCAATGACGGTAAGCCGTAGACCTCTTTTGCTGACATTGTTATGTCCCACTCCGGAATGTAGGTGTCGTTAGGGTTTTGATTGGCCAGCTCCATATTCATGTAGTGCGTCTCATAATCGATCACCTGTCGGCGAGCGGTGTTGAGAATTCGGCATCGGTTTCTTTCCGTTCCGCCAACATGAAAAAGCGGCTACGGATCATTTCCCCCAGCCGGTGGAATATAAATCATCTTTGGAAGAAGCCCGCAGCGAACGCGGTCGATCGACCGCTGTTTGCAACCGGTGGTGGGTGAACCCTTGCGCATCTGCGATAAAACGCAATTTTGCTCCTGAACCAGAGGGAATATTGCTCCACCGATTTCATAGCGACAGGAACCCTCGATCCTCCTCAGCACTCCCCGAAAACCGCAATGAGACCATCCCCGCTCATCGAAGCAATCACTAGGTTCTGTGTCCCTCACGTTGTATCGCCTGGCAGGCGACGCCTGCTCCCCCACCCCCTGTAGTAGGATATCTTTGGCAGCCGGGGATCCAGGCTTCCCGAATCGAGTGTCATGATGATCGAGGATAGTTCCTTATCAGGACCTTGATATGCTTCCGGCGTCGACATGCGATCGATTCACCGATTTATTGAAGGGTGCGAAGACCTCTCAGAAATCGGCGCGGCGATGGCGATCCGGGAATTCGCTGATTTGAGTTCCAAATTCGGTCGGTTCAAGAGCTCTTCCCATCACTGATATGTACGTCAGCTCGTCCCCTCTTCCGATAGTGGGTCTCGGCTCCTGTTCAGAGCTCTTATCATCCACACCTGATCCAATCGCCCTGTTATCGACGCAGAGGAGTCGAGGATGGCGTCGAAGGTCACGTATCCGGAGCGAATGACTGCTGAAGCTATTAATCGAGCCGAAGCTTATTCCGAGGCCCTCAATGATCGAACAATGGGCCCCCGGAGCAAGAATCTCCCTTGCTCGTAAATAAAAGCCCGGTGAACCCCCTAGGTAACTCACGTTCGGACTCTACGAACCTGGTACGTTGAATTGTCGTGAATTCCGTCGATGTGATAGACTCTAAAAGCGGGGTCGCCTGTCTCGAACGTTGTTATCGACGGAGCGATAAAGGCCGTGGCGAAAGGTCGCGTCGCGTTATCCTTGTCGAAGAACACCTCGAACTCGTCGTTGTGGGTGTGGCCGTAGAAATGGCCGGCGATGGTCGACTCGTAGCGATTCACGATCTCGTTGAAGTTCCTGCTCCAAACAGCCAGGCAGTTGTCCGAGCCCGGTGGAATGTGAGCGATCAAATGAACTAGGATTCCTTTATCCTCGCATTCCTGGAGCTGCTTCGTAAACCAATCGAGTTGTTCTGCAGGACGAATGGGAAAGAGTTTTTCCATCAGTTTCGGTGCGTTCCGGCGGAAGACGACTCCTCCGGTGTACCTCTAGTCTATTTCCGCTCCGTGAGAATAAGTGCCGTACTGCATGAACGAGTCTAGAATTTATGGCCCAGGAAACGGGACAGGGACCTAGGTAATCCAGACATCTGTTCTGCTGCGCGCGGCCACTACACTCGACTGATTAGATATGAGCCCAGAATCTGATTGCTTCTATGGGGGATTTTTCTCTTCGGGAATCGAAGTGCGAGCCCCGTGAAGCTGAATTTATAGCTGGACTCGAGGGAGCAGTGGCAGAGAGTGCCTCGTAAAACGTTTCCAGACGAGCGGCTTCCGAATTGACTCGGGAGCCTGCCTGTGAGCGCATGTCAGTTCGGCGCTTGAGCCGGCAATTTGTGTCTGTCACGAACAGAGGGATCGATAGAAGAACGTTTGGAAAGCGGAGGAAATTGCAGACTACAAACCCGTTGGATCGGTTCCATTGATAAGGATCCACCAATTGAAGTTGTTGCAATAGTTCATGTTGAGCGATAAGATCCTCAGTTTGGGATTGAGATCATACTTGAAATAACCGCCGTAACGGAATGTCTTCAAGTTTTCTTCCGGGATGTAGTAGGACCAGAGGTCGGCGAGAGAATTGTAGAGCCACTCGACGGAAAGATCCCCTGGGGAAGAAACTCGCAAGTCACTTCCCAGTGGCGTGCCTCGGAGCACTACAGAAACGAGTGATGCAGAATAATAAGTAGAGGAGGGGGAAGTCGAGCAGAGTATTCATCAGAGCTAAAAAACAATGCAGTAGTGGAGGCGGGTCCCCGACTTCAACGTTTCATCGTCCGAGAAGTGCTATCCAACCAAGTCTGTCCGAATATCCAGCAGCGAGCCCTTATCCTCCTGCGTCAGACTACGGGGTAATCAGGCCCGATCCGGATAAAGGTCTTGCGTGCAGGCCAACATTCCGAGCTGTCAGGAAAGCGAGACCAGCGGTTCTCGCCCACCATTGGTGCCAGGTCTGCGCGTAAAGAGCTGTACACGTATTTAGTTGTGGGGAGGAATAGCGCCAATAAGCTCGTACTGCTGTCGCCGATTCCAATCACGTTTCTTTGTCGGAGAGTCGGTCGGTGCGATGCCGCATGGGTTGAAATGGAGAATGAGCTCCCGCCGGAATCTTTTCGCTGACCCAGGGTTCTCTTGCCCTATATTTTCGAGTATGGAACGGTTGGCACAGACACGCTCCGATTTCCGTCGAAGAAAGTCGTTTCGATCCCATTCCGTCGATGCACAGCGCAGTTTGAGCGGTAGGAGATGCTCCCCCTCCGTACCATGATCGTTGTCTGATATCGAGGGACACTCCACACCGACGGGATTGAACATTTCGCTCTTCGGAAGTGGCGCGAAATAATATTGCTTTCACAATGCCGTTCTCCTCTACTCGACCGTGCGTGGTATGTGTTCGCAGTTGGTCGATTGGTGAGCGTGCGTCGGGCTGTGTGCGGCTGTTTGCGACTTTTCCTCTCCCAAGGAAGAAATTCGCACCCGTACGGAAGAACCTGGCTCGCTGCTGTGATCGGACGCAATGTTTGCCGCGCACTTCTACTCCCAGAATGCATTTCGGCAGATTCCTTCGACGATTCCAATGCGGTTGGTTCCAAACCTTCCGGAAGTCGGATGGAGTTTCCTCTCGCTCGATTGGGTCTATTTAGAACCACCGAGGAAAAAATCTCGGCCGCTGCCTGGCGCGCTCGCGACAGACGGCAGAGAGCGTAGCGAGGCAGCGGATGCTGACAGGGGGTTTCTTAGTTTCGCCTCGAAAATTGAACGAACCTGGAAAGAGCCTCGCTCGAGAAGGATTAATAGCCAGCGAACACGACTGCAGCAGCCGGCGGTACGTACCTTTAATTTGGGGAATGGGGAACGAGTTGACGGGAACTCCCTCGTGATTTCCCATGGCGGGAATTACCTTCACTGCGGGGAGATGTGTTTTCAGCAGGCTTAATGTGTCGTTAAATTGTCGCAAATTGTCTTCTCTGGTGTTTTCCCAAACGTCATGAGGCATGATGTCCCCCGTCCAATAAACAACATCTGGCTTCACCTAAATTCAGAAGCAGAAGTCGATTCAAATAGAGTCTTTCCCTCGGAAGAGCCGACTGTAGGCTCATGTATATTCACATCGGTGGAGGAGAATTCGGGCACTCACAACTTCCGCCAGATATCGCACTGACTCTCTCAGTGTTCGTTGTGGTACGTCGCATCGGGAATAAGTCCCCCAGAATCCAGCCTTCGCCGGTTCTCCGAGGGGATTTTTCTTCGGCGTAGAGTTCGCTCGGCAACAAAGCGGATCGTTGCAGTCCACGAGACTGCCGGGAACGTATCGTTCGTCGACATGGGTGTCGGCCAGTTGGGCAATTCTCAGAACCGGGGACCCGGGTTTCGGCAAAGGGACCTGGAAATGAGCACGGCCGTTTCATGGGAGACTCACTCAGTCGGGCGCCCAGCACACCCGACACCTTCTCGATAAACGACTCCGACCTCCCCTTTGTACGCTGACTGCAGAGCGAAGAATAGGTCACGGGCAGCTTCTGACCGGTGACATGTCCTCCTCTGGTGCTCAGCATCCCGACTATCAGGGGAGAACTACGGTGGTCATTTGATGGAGGGAAGGGCGGATGACGAATGCTTCGGGATGCCCTGAACGAGGAGGGTCTCTCGGGGGCAAGGATACTCTTCGAATTGATCTCTCTTCGGGTCCCTTGTGCTCGGTCCACCCGGAAAACTCGCTCTGCGGCTTGTCGAGCCTAAATGGATCCAAATACACCCAATCGAAAGTCGGATGTGACGATCGCCGGCGGAAAACCCTCGACGAGCTTCTCTCGTTGTTGGAAGCGCGAAAGAGTCTGAAGGGCCGCAATCAACATGGCTCCTACTTCTGCCAGCTGCAGGGACTGCATCTCACAGACGAAGTAGGGTAACGTGTTTACTTCAAGTCTACAAGGCCGTTGTCACGTCGGCGTCGGTCAGACAGCCGCATGATTCCCCCGATGGCGGATTCTTCGCAGATCCGTGAGAGGCTCTTCGTCTAAGCTGCGGCACAACAAAGGGACGGTCATGTTGACGCAGACCACGAAGGGAAACGTGCGTGGAGAATTTCCAAGGTCGACGCAGCTCTCTCGGTTCAGTTTCAGAGGCTCGCAAGAATCGAATATACGTGTTCAGAATTCCGGCCAGGGATTCGGCTTACCAGCTGACCTGGACAGCATCCTTCGACGGAACAACGACCTTACGGTTCCTCCGGGTTGTCGCAGCAAGGCTCGAGAGAGTAGAGCTATAGTATTTCTCCCACATCGCGAAGCCTGCCATCGTCCAGGCTTCCATTAGGGGCGAATCAACAAGACTGTGACTGACAGACGGAGGGTATCCGATGCGAAGGTTTCGCTAACGAGCCCCGGTTCACGCTCTCAGCCAGAGGGATCTCTGAATAAATCAATTTTCCTCCCTAGAAGAGTCGACTAAACCAGATGGGGGAGGGGGCTCGACCTCGCCCCTTCCGATCCTGCCTCTTCGGCCTAACTCGGGCTCACGCTCAACAGCATAGTCATAGTCGGTGGAGAACGCTTCTTTTGAGAACCGCGAGAATAACTTCGAGTCGCTTCGCAGCTGCTCCTGGGGATGGTCTTTGAGTGCGCTCGACGTTCCTGACCCCTTCTCGGGAGAAGCGCGAAACTTCTCCAGCTATGTTATCGGAATGAGGCCGGAGCAGAACGAATCCGACGAGAGCTTCGTCGAATCCAACGCGGGCAACGCGAATTAAATTATGACTCACCTGTCTAACGGGCGGTTTTGGAACTCCTGTAGTATTGACGGACCATTGTGTTTCCGTGCTGGTACTCCCGCATTGGTTATTGAATGCGAGGGAACAAATATCTGACGCACTCAGAGGGGTTTTGTTGATCGTAGTGAAGAGAACGTCTTTGAATTTAGGAATTATTCCATGGCACACCTGCGACGATTCGATTCCCAGGTTCTTGCAAAGGAAAATGAGCACATCTAGCAGCGTTTCCGAAGGTGTGCTTTCGCCGTGGGCTCTTATCTGGAAGGATCGGGATGAAAGCTAGAGTCTTTGAATTATATATGGGATGACAATATTTACTACTGAGGAGATCCCTGTGCCTAACCGCCCTTGTGTGGGGATCGAGCTCCCTCGATGAGCAACATCGTGGAGGATGAGCGAGCTCGTTTCATTCTCTCCGGTCGAACCCTCGGATGGATCATACGGGCCGCCCGCACGCTGTCCGATTCGAATTCACCAGACCTTGAGAGTCCGAATAGGACATTCTTTGAGTACACTCTCCATCGCTCCGCGAGTTCAGCACCTGCTCTTCCAGCGCTGCTTCGGCGTCGGCGTTAGCCGAATGGATCGCTCTCCGCTCCGACACGATCCTCCGGCGTTGCTCCACTATGTTTTAGAGTCGTAGAGAATTCGAGACTGCGAATTCGCATCTGCTCCGAATGGATCGTAATACCCTCCGTAATTCATTGAGGGTTTCCGGCAACGCAGTCCTACTCCACCACGCCGACATAAGACGTGGCTCTCGAAATAATTGTTCTTAATCCACGACCCAATGCTAGCTGCGGGCCGCTGAGTTTTCGAGGGAACTTCCTCATATTGTTTGTGGGAATAAATTCAGCATACGACTCGTATTGCAGTATTCTTGTTTCTCACCAGTCCTACGGTAGCTCGGCAGACTTCGCAATAGGCGATGGAGCCACCCGAAGAAACTCTGCTCGCTTCCAACTCTTTCGCGAAGCTGTGCACCCAGTAAGTCTCATCTATTGGACTGGCCTCCACGCGGATAGTGAGGGACGCCACAAGGAGAACCGCGGACCATGCTGAAAATCGCATTCTCCCTCTGGAAGGAAAAATCCTGGCTTAGAAACATTAATGTAACCGGCTGTGTCAATCTGTGTTGGTACATGCTGCGCAGTGTCACTCTTTGAACTCTGGATTCGACGGACTCGGAGCATTCCTCCAGACAGCGGTGGAAGTTCAAGGTTAATCTCGTACCGGATGCGAAGGGAGGAATAATTCCTTCTCGGTCAGAACTCTGGCTCAGGGACGATCCACGAGACGGAGAGGGTGCACTGGCATCACGGAATTCCATGGGAGCACTTCCAAGATCACCGAACGAATCCTTAATTTTGAATGAGGAGCAAAGAAATGGCACAGCGCGTGCTATGACTTGCTATTTGATCATCTGCCAATATTCTGTGAGCAAGGCTCATCATCACTATCAGACGGACTGGGATCATTGGAGCTATTTGGATGACTCGATAGAATCGTACTGCGATGTTGAACCAGCTGTCTGCAAGGGCTAGGGTGCCATTCTTCACCCTTTCCAATAAAAGCGGTGTCCCGAAAAAAATTCTGAATCTAGACAATTCATCCGGATCGACGGCTTCATCGGATTGAAGAATCTCTTCAATACGTCTGGAGTCTGAACACAACGTCCTTGCGAGCTTGATCGTATTCAAGCTCGGAGACTTCCCTGCCTGGTCTAGCCATGGGCTAGGAGACGATCTCCTTTGGGTGATTATTCATCGGCCCTTATCTCATGAATAGAGACGCACGTAGCGAGCATAGGAAGCGGCACTAGAACAAAGGCGCGTATCTCGCAACAGAGAAGCGCTTAGCTGTCGGCAATCTCCGGTACCGTTCCGAGGGAGCGTCAAAGGTTCCCTTGTGACCCAGTCAGCTCACTTCCCAGTGTGATGAGCAGTCCGTCTTGCCATTGCGCCGACCGAGGTCCTCCCGAGCACCGAGGTCCGACTCGTGCCTCGTAGTTTCGTCGCAAGAATCCGTTGTGCCGGACATTTTCTTCGTCTGACTTCGTCCCCCGTTTTCCATTAGCGGAAGGGAAACCAGGGAATCTCGACTTGAAGACTCTATTTTTAGAGCTCAGAAGTTTAGCATACTCGGCACAGATTCCCTCACCAAGACAAGAAAATAACCGAGGAGTGACAATAAGTCGAATGGTACTCGAAAAGTTCACGCATCTCAGTTGAAGCCATCCAAAGCGGGGGGATCCTTAACCAGGTGTCCAGCTCCCCTGGAAGTCTGCCGAGCTTGCTGGCACGTACAGCATCCACTCATCATGGACTACCAATGATGTCTCTGACGAGCGAATCCTGTCCTGGCGAGCAACCCTGTGAACGAATCCGACAGACCTTGGCGGTGACCAACCCCCATCGTTCGGGTCGATGAGCTCACTCAAAACTCAGACTCCCGGGATAATAATGATTTACAGTAAACATTGGCGCGATGCACTCGTTCGCTGGCCAGAGGACGACTATTCCGTTCGTTTCAGACTATGTTTTGGGGAAAACTCCTCGGGTCAGGCGACATGAAGGACTGGGCACCCGTCTCGACCTCTTTGACCGTGTTTCAGCGAGGAGTTGCCGGAGTCGATAGGCAGGAGAGACTCAAACAATCCAACAAGAGCTCCCTTTCAAGACTTCCGGAATCTCGAGCGTGAAATCGCCATCGAGAGCAAATGTGATGGAGTGTTGCTTTCCTATCCATTCCATGGAAAAGAGTGATCCCCCGAAATATCGCACATGTTTCGGTACCTCTATCGAGCTCACCTGCGACTTGCACTGAGATGTTTCTTCAACGAGCAAATGAGCGTGAATGGCCCGGAGCGCTAACCGCAGCTTAATATTTTCAAAACAAGTGTGCGACTCAAATTTCAGCGCCGCAGTGGACTAAGCCTCTCTGTTCCAATTCTGACGCGTGCGTAGCTCTTCTAGATGCTCACATCCACTAATCCCCAAATTGAACGTAGTTAGATTATCGAACTTGGTAGCGCTACTCGCCATAGAGCGGTGATGTTCACTCGTATTGACGACTCGGCGTATCGACCACAATCGCGCTGAGATCATTGATAAAATTCCTTGCGAAAGATTATCCCTCGATTCTGATACAAATGGACCCCGCGAGCGGTGCTGCGAATGCCGTGCCCTAAGCATCTGTATCGGTGAAACGCGGGGTCTCGGGTGATTCGACATCCCTGACTCGTGGAGATATTTATCGAGTTCGAGAGGCAGAAGGAAAGGTAGGTACTCTCAGGAATCAGAACTTCGCTTATTCAGTAGAGGAGTGGGAGGACGAGTTGATCTCCGAGATCTTCCGATCAGTCACATGTCGATTGCCGAGAAGTGTCGCCTTTCTTGAGCCGATACCTCCCACCTTGGAGAGCATCGGACGGAGACGTTCGACGAAGTTCCCGATACGGAAACGCCGATAGCTCGCTTCATTCGCTAGACCCAGTAGGAGCGGGGAAATTCAGCCTCGAGAGCCTGCGCCATAAACCGTCCCGCCGTCAGTCGCTTAGCCTCGGAGTCATCCAGAGAGCCCCCACTAATAAAGAGGGGCGTCCGCGATTCAGTGTCCCGCCAGATATTCGTATTCATATCAGCGAGCTCTATATCGAAGCGTGACTTCTCGGAAGAAAATTCTAAGGGTATCTCGAATTCTTCGTTGTGCATCTGCTGACTTGGCGTGATCCGTCCAATCGGCTCACCTCCCGCGATAGCTCGGATCCCGGAGTATATCATTCATATATATGGCTCATTGTGAGTAGGTGAGTCCATGTTCCCTCTTTCAGGGCGATTCGAGCGGAAGACTCGCGCCCCATATCAAGCGAACCCACGCGGGGCGCTCGTTCGACCTAGCTCGGCTGATTTTCTCCGGTATGACATCGTGCCGGTCGACTCTCACAGAACCGTCTCCGCGCCGAAGCCCCGACCGGGAGTGCAGATGACGACTCGAATAATGGTCTGATGGCTTATCATTGAAGGAGAAATTTTCGCAGGGCAGATCGCGACCCGGACGTTGGAGTTGCAGCACTAGCAATCATTAATGGATCCGATATACCGACATTGGGAGCACTCGGGAAGTTTCCGGAGTTTCAACGAAACACTCCCAAGTCCTGAAATATTAAACCATTCACGTCCATTGCCGACTCTCCGTGAAATTACCGATCAGCGTCGGCGCCCGGTTGCGCGTGAGGCGTGAGCATGCTACAGACGAGGAGCGCGATACGATCTGCTCTTCTCTAGAAACGCAATCCGTCGCTTTCTTCGAAAACTCGGAGCGAGACGAGCACTTTCCGACGGAATATTCTATTATACGCAGTTGCGGCGCGCCGAGAAGGTCACGCTGTATGAAAGCCGTCCGGGAGATATGTACGTGCGCGAATGCGAAATATGTATGTGTCTTGAGCTCGCCAACAGAAGCTCCACTAACGCATTTCCCAAAGAGAAGCTCTATGCATGACTGTCGACGTGAAGAGGAAACGCAAAACGATGTAATATTCATTTGTAGACACCGCTTCTCCACTTTCGCTGCTCCCTCAAAGCTGGATTCAGTCTATTCACGGGGACGAACTTCTTCTTCCTCTTGTTTTATGCAACAACTGCTATCCGTGTTGCGAGCGAGTGGCTTGTGTTCACAGGAACTGGCGAAGTCGTCGTTGATGTGTTGATTCTTTTCTGTCGTACAATATGTCGTCGTGCGACCGAAATAAGATTCTGTGTAAATATCTCGGTATGTTGACGATAAGACCCGCAGCTCTGCTCGGAGACCTCTTACTCTGCTACGGACCGAGACTTCCCGTAATCCCTGGGAGTATTTTCTTCTTACTCCTCATCTCTCGCCTCAGCTTTCTTGGCACTGTCGACGAGGGCAGCGAAGCCGGTCGTAGTTCTTCGCGAAAAGGAGCATAGCCTCGAGTCTGGAGTGTCTCGAGCATACAACAATAGATATCGCCGAAAATCCCCAGCAGCATACCCTGACCCCGTAATGTGGATCTCGCCTCCACCTCCATTCCCTTAGAGCTGTGTCGCGTACATAGTTTCTCTCTATCACGCCGGCTAGCCAATTCAATAATCCAATCATCCGTAACTCTCGCCATCCAGTGTGTGCGTTGATCATTCGAAGAGGCTCGCGATCTATCTCCGCGATCAAGTCCCTACCCGAAGCCCTCACGCCGGCCGTTCAGGAGAAAAACAATAAACGGACCGATGGATATGTGATGTTATCATTCATATCCGAGGTCTTATTCGAGGACTGAACGAGAAAAGAAGGACATAACTCGAGGAGCGGGTGCGGGCGCGACGCGGCACAGATGAAGCGCATCGAGAAAAACGAGGCGATAAATTTCAATGAGAATTCGCTTCGCCTTCACGATTCGTCTTCCGCGCCGAGCTCCGAGAACGAATTCGAAGACTGAACCCGCAGCGTTTCAGCAATAGCGAACTCGACTTGCTCAGCCCACCTCGCCCTGTCATTCTTCGCCCTTCGAGCACGTGTTCTGATTGTCCCTGCGTTCGGATCGAAGCGGAAAAGGGCTGAGAAATATCGGTAGTCCTCTTGTTTGCCGTTGGAGTTGCGGACCTTCCGGACAGCATTCCGAAGCAGGCCGAGACATACCGTCATCAACGATGCGCGTGGAATCCCCCCCCCGCCCCTCCCCATCTAGTTACTTATGCATGCGGGAGACGTCGTCCGGCTCTCCCATTTTTCGCAGATTGCTTGATGTCACATAAGTCCGGGAGAGCACAGGCGGAGCTCTTCTCTTATAGTTCGGAGGAAGCATAAGAGCAGGGAATCAATTATTTATCGTTCAGAAGCTTCCTCCCAGACACAAAGATAACAATCGCGCCTTCTTGAGCGCATTAAAAGCACGAGAACGGCTCGACTTATTCTGGAGGGATAAAGTTCCCCGTCGAGCTTCCGACAAGGAATGAATGAGTTCCCCCGCGCTTGAAGTCTTGGTGAGCAGAAAACCACTGTCAGAAAGAAGATCCTCGGAATGAAATGATAAATGCGTTTTTGATCCCCGGTTTCGGCTACGTGTGCTCTCGAAGAAAGAAGATTCGACTGGGAGATTCTTGCGAGCCTGCGCCCTGCTCCTCGAGAGACTTTGTCCAATTTTGGCCCATTCCCGCTTTTTTTCTCCACGAGGTGACGGAAGTCTCCAGGGATTCGATCCTTCGAGAGATCAATTTTTATGGTTCGTTTCCATACCGAATCCGCCGGCTTTTCCCACAATTACTGGATTATCACTACTACATCGCGGACAGAAGCATATTTGGATTCTGATTTGTGCGAGGGTGCCGACAAGTTCCACTCTGACGAGAGGCCTCACAAAGTCTCCCGGCAATCCGCTGCGAGTTCGCTCGAGCGGCTGTTTGACTCGAAGCTCCGAGAACGTTCCCGTCGATCAACCCTGGGACAAAGAGAGACATGCCGTTGCTGGGAGGCAAAAACAAAAGCGTTGTTCGCACAGCTTTCTGGACCGTCGGAAATAACCAGATGCCCGCGAACCGTCGCTCCGAATGGAATCCATTCCGAGAGACGCTCGTTCACCCAATGGAAGAAAACGACATATTCGGCCGAGCTGAAGTGGACTTCTCGTACACGATCGTCAGATTTCATCTGTATCGCATCAAGAGACTCAAGCTCTGTATTCACGAACCGACGAGGGAATCACACGAGATGATTCCTCTTCCTGCGAGAGAATCCTATTGGCCTACTCTGCCGAGATGAAAGTTTCGACGAGAACGGAATACGCCTTCGACCGGGGGACTTCAACCGGAAGAAAAACTGACACAATCGAGTTTCCCAATGTCCCCAGGCGGCTACTTCTTTTCGTTTGCCATTCCCAAGTTTCAGACCTGCGCACGTTCTACCTCAGAGTGCTGTTCCCTTGCCGGCCCGCTCGCCTCCGCTGTCGACTTTCCGACGACACGAGGACGTCCGACATGGGAAGTCGGGCGGGAAACTTCCAGGGAACGCCAAACGAACGGAATCGACTAACGCATCGGCTCAGACATTTTGGCTGTCGGTTCGGGTTGCACCGACACGAGAACAGATGATAGTGTCTGCCATCGGCAGATATTCGATCTTGCGGAACTCGAATAGCGATATCCTCCGCTATCTCGACTTCATCCGACTCATTACCTCGGGAGCCGGTCGCCGTCTGTTCCCTAAGCAACGCTCAGAGGATCTGTTCTTCGTGCAAGAGGAATGAGGGTACAGATATATTGAATTTTCCCGAGATCGGCTCACTCCACATGCATTCATTCACGGCCGCTTACGGTCGTATCTTGATGTCCCCGATGCGCGCATCGGTCGGGAGCTGTGAATTATTCATTGTGCAGCTCCTAGATCTCACATGGCGAGGCCCCAATCTCGACGTCAACGAGTCTCCCGTAATCATCCCAGGATCTGGAATTCGCTACAATGACAGCCATGGTGATAGGCTGAGAAAATTTCTCGATGGAGAATCGCTGCCTTGATTTGAAGGTTCCGTGTTCGCAGCGCGCTCTCAATGTAGATGTCTCTATCAAGCATCGGACGACCGAACCGAGCGACCGAGCAACCAAGGACTCGACTAACATAGTAGACTCTTTCCAGCAACGCTGCTGCACATCTAAGTAACCAACGGAGCGAAGATATTAGGCCTTGCAGCCGAGAGAACAATCATGTCATTGCCTCGGCTGTCTCCGGAGAAGGCAGTTCCATCGGAGGAGTGCGGCGTGCTATCTCGACCATGAAACAATGAACGACAGCTGATGGAGAATCAGAGAAGCAGCAATTTTGCAAACTCGAAGTCGAGCATGTCGGTCCTCGGAACGTCCTCGCTCGCTCGCTTCCAGCGGGCGCCTGGGAAGGCTCCGATTTCATTTTGCTCTGTACGGAGCTCTTGAAAGACGGGTCCCGCATGAGAACGAGCAGACCACTCGCAGATCTTCCATTCGATATCAGCTAGCTTCCTTATCCGCTCAACTCCGGGAGGACAGCAGTCGTCACGAAGCACGTCGTGAGTTGCTTGCGTAAGTCCGTGATTGACCTTCCTCCTCTCCTGGCTTTCTATGGACATCTACGGTGCTCACTTGGCTCGGATGGACAGACGATCAGCGAGCCCTCGTTTCGCACACTTTTCGCATGCTTTTCGTCCTGGTTC